ATATTTGTTCTCCCACTGATAACAGTGGGGAAAAAAGTATTTAGTCAGCCCCCAAATTTGTGCAATTTCTCCCACTTAAAAATATGAGAGAGGCCTGTAATTTTCATCATAGGTACACGTCAACTATTACAGACAAAATGAGGAAAAAAAATCCAGAAAATCACATTTTTGGGTTTTTTAATAAATTTATAGGCAAATTAGGGTGTAAAATAAGTATTTGGTCAATAACAAAAGTTTCTCAATACTTTGTTATATACCCTTTGTTTGCAATTACAGAGATCATACGTTTCCTGTAGGTCTTGACCAGGTTTGCACACACTACAGCAGGGATTTTGGCCCACTCCTCCATACAGACCTTCTCCAGATCCTTCAGGTTTCGGGGCTGTTGCTGGGCAATACGGACTTTCAGCTCCCTCCAAAGATTTTCTATTGGGTTCAGGTCTGGAGACTGGCTAGGCCACTCCAGGACCTTGAGATGCATCTTACGGAGCCACTCCTTAGTTTGCCCTGGCTGTGTGTTTCGGGTCGTTGTCATGCTGGAAGACCCAGCCACGACCCATCTTCAATGCTCTTACTGAGGGAAGGAGGTTGTTGGCCAAGATCTTGCGATACACGGCCCCATCCATCCTCCCCTCAATACGGTGCAGTCGTCCTGTCCCCTTTGCAGAAAAGATCCCCAAAGAATGATGTTTCCACCTCCATGCTTCACGGTTGGGATGGTGTTCTTGGGGTTTGTACTTATCCTTCTTCTTCCTCCAAACACGGCGAGTGGAGTTTAGACCAAAAAGCTCTATTTTGTCTCATCAGACCACATGACCTTCTCCCATTCCTCCTCTGGATCATCCAGATGGTCATTGGCAAACTTCAGACGGGCCTGGACATGCGCTGGCTTGAGCAGGGGGACCTTGCGTGCGCTGCAGGATTTTAATCCATGACGGCGTAGTGTGTTACTAATGGTTTCTTTGAGACTGTGGTTCCCAGCTCTCTTCAGGTCATTGACCAGGTCCTGCCGTGTAGTTCTGGGCTGATCCCTCACCTTCCTCATGACCATTGATGCCCCACGAGGTGAGATCTTGCATGGAGCCCCAGACCGAGGGGTGATGACCGTCATCTTGAACTTCTTCCATTTTCTAATAATTGTGCCAACCAGTTGTTGCCTTCTCACCAAGCTGCTTGCCTATTGTCCTGTAGCCCATCCCAGCCTTGTGCAAGTCTACAATTTTATCCCTGATGTCCTTACACAGCTCTCTGGTCTTGGCCATTGTGGAGAGGTTGGAGTCTGTTTGATTGAGTGTGGGGACAGGTGTCTTTTATACAGGTAATGAGTTCAAACAGGTGCAGTTAATACAGGTAATGAGTGGAGAACAGGAGGGCTTCTTGAAGAAAAACTAACAGGTCTGTGAGAGCCGGAATTCTTACTGGTTGGTAGGTGATCAAATACTTATGTCATGCAATAAAATGCAAATTAATTACTTAAAAATCATACAATGTGATTTTCTGGATTTTTGTTTTAGATTATGTCTCTCACATGTGAAGTGTACCTGTGATAAAAATGACAGACCTCTACATGCTTTGTAAGTAGGAAAACCTGCAAAATCAGCAGTGTATCAAATACTTGTTCTCCCCACTGTATATACATACATATCCTTTAAAAATATATATATTTCCCTTTATTACTTTCAAACCCCACCATCCCTTCCCTAATTGGAGTAAACTAGTGAACAACAATGCTTAGGCCTCTACATGCTTATACATACTATCTGCATTTTATGGACACAGTCAATAATTATATTTTGTTTGTTTTTACTCCTGAACTTCCTCCGATCATGTTCATGATGTCCATCTGGTATGCTTCTATATGCCATATCTTTCTAACTGTGCTCTTTCACAAAAGCTCACAATATATAACCTATATACTTATTATGGACACAGCATGTCTTACACTAGTTATCTTGTTGTTATTAGTTGTTGTTATTAGTCCCATCCTTCAGCTCCATTCAACACCTCCCATCTATCTCTTAACACCATCCATATTGGATTTCTATTTGCCATATATGTTTTACAAAAGTTCTGAACCTTTCTATTCTCATTGTTTATACAGTTTGTGAATTGAAAATAATTTTTTTTGCTAAAAGTAGTATTATATTATTGATCGATTGACTTATGACTTTTCAGATCACCCAGTAGTGCTATCTGCAGGGTCAGCTCCATGCAAATATTGCAATCCTTCAGCCATTCCTGGAACTGTGTCCAGAAACAAGCTACAAATGGACAGTACCAAAACAAATGATCTAATGATTCTGTCTCTTCACAGACAAATCTGCAGAGCTGGGAAGATTGTATCCCCCATACAAATAACATTCTATTGGTAGCAAGAATTTTATATAATAATTTAAATTGAAAAATTATACGTTCATAAACACTATGCCATGGAATCGGTACGTCAAAAACCTCTTCCCAACTATTTTGCAATCTATATGGGACGGCTGTCAATCTTTTGGTCCTTAAATGAAACTGGTAAACTTTTTTATTTATAATTTTTTTTTTAAACCAAATATGTTCTTTAATGCAAGGCCGACAGACAAGTTCCTTACTTTTTCCTCCTTCCACTTTCCTCTTCCATTTTTGCGGTAATGCTGCAATTATTTGGTTGTAATTTTGGGTAGAGCAGACATTTCCATATGTTTTTGTTAGCTGCATGTGCGACATAACTCCACCATTCCTACCGATAATATCATTTACGAAGATAATACCTTTTTTTTTTTTTTTTCTCAAAAAAGAATGTTTTTTTCTCAATTAGTATATTTGAGTTTAACCACAATATTTCTTGCAATATTTGTTCTGTCATTTCTGGAGGATTCAATTGAAATTGCAACCAACTTTCTATGGCTTGTTTTAGAAATAGTGATATTTGGGAGATGATTTCCTTTTCAAATACCTGAAAGTGAGGGGTTGTAATCTGAATAAAGGGGAAAAGTCCCTTCTTGAACATTGGGTGAGACAATCTTACTAGTTTGCTAGAGAACCAGTTTGGATTTAAGTATCATTTTTGTATGACTGAAGCTTTTGGTGATAGGTCTAATGCTTTAATATTTAATAATTTCTGTCCTCCTAATTCATATTCATTATATAAATAGGCCTGTTTAATTTTGTCTGGCTTGCCGTTCCAAATAAAATGGAATATTGTTATCTCATATAATAAAAAGAAAACTGTTTGCTAGGCGTAGGCAAGACCATAAGCAAATAGGTAAACTGGGATAATACTAAAGAGTTAATCAGGGTGATTTTTCCACAAATATACAGGTATTTACCTTTCCATGGTAGCAAGATCTTATCAATTTTTATAACTTTCTATTAAAATGTTTTGGAGTGAGATCATTTATTTCATTTGGGATATGTATTCCGAGTATATCCACATCACCATCAGACCATTTTATTGGTATATAAACCCCAGTCGTACTTTATCAAATGCCTTTTCGAAGTCTGCTATGAATAGTAGGCCTGGTTTCCCAGATTTTTCATTCTATTGTTTCCAGTACTTGCCTTATATTATCTCCAATGTATCGCCCATGTAAAAAACCTGTCTGATTAGAATGAATAATGGGTCAGAAGTTTACATACACTCAATTAGTATTTGTTAGCATTGCCTTTAAATTGTTTAACTTGGGTCAAACATTTCGGGTAGCCTTCCACAAGCTTCCCACAATAAGTTGGGTGAATTTTGGCCCATTCCTCCTGACAGAGCTGGTGTAACTGAATCAGGTTTGTAGGCCTCCTTGCTCGCACACGCGTTTTCAGTTCTGCCCACAAATTTTCTAAAAGGATTGAGGTCAGGGCTTTGTGATGGCCACTCCAATACCTTGACTTTGTTGTCCTTGTCCAACTTTGGAAGTATGCTTGGGGTCGTTGTCCATTTGGAAGACCCATTTGCGACCAAGCTTTAACTTCCTGACTGATGTCTTGAGATGTTGCTTCAATATATCCACATAATTTTCCTTCCTCATGATGCCATCTATTTTGTGAAGTGCACCAGTCTCTCCTGCAGCAAAGCACCCCCACAGCATGATGCTGCCACCTTTTGTATGGCGGTTTTGGAGCAGTGGCTTTTTCCTTGCTGAGCGGCCTTTCAGGTTATGTCGATATAGGACTTTACTGTGGATATAGATAATTTTGTACCTGTTTCCTCCAGCATCTTCACAAGGTCCTTTGCTGTTGTTCTGGGATTGATTTGCACTTTTCGCACCAAAGTACGTTAATCTCTAGGAGACAGAACGCGTCTCCTTACTGAGCGGTATGACGGCTGCGTGGTCCCATGGTGTTTATACTTGCGTACTATTGTTTGTACAGATGAATGTGGTACCTTCAGGTGTTTGGAAATTGCTCCTAAGGATGAACCAGACTTGTGGAGGTCTACAATTTTTTTTCTGAGGTCTTGGCTGATTTCTTTTCATTTTCCCATGATGTCAAGCAAAGAGGCACTGAGTTTGAAGGTAGGCCTTGAAATACATCCACAGGTACACCTCCAATTGACTCAAATTATGTCAATTAGCCTATCAGAAGCTTCTAAAGCCATGACATCATTTTCTGAAAATGTCCAAGCCGTTTAAAAGCACAGTCAACTTAGTGTATGTAAACTTCTGACCCACTGGAATTGTGATACAGTGAATTATAAGTGAAATAATCTGTCTGTAAACAATTGTTGGAAAAATTACTTGTGCCATGCACAAAGTAGATGTCCTAACCGACTTGCCAAACTATAGTTTGTTAACAAGAAATGTGTGGAGTGGTTGAAAAACGAGCTTTAATGACTCCAACCTAAGTGTATGTAAACTTCCGACTTCAACTGTAGGTATTCACTTGAGTTCAGAAAAATTAATTATTTTAACCATGACCCTAACCCTAATCCTAACCTCTAAACTCTGACCCTAACCCCTGGTCTCTGACCCCAGCCTCACCCTGCTGATCTCGGACTCAGGCACCCCTCTGAGGCGGGCATACAGATGGAGGTGCTCTCTGCCAGTCAGCAGCTCATCTATGGCATCAAACTGGGGGCAGTAGCCCATGTTCTGGTGCACATCCAGGATATTGGTCAGGATGCTGCAGGGACCGGGACGAAGGGTACGATTACAGGTGAAAAGCATAGAGCTGTGCTCTGGGGTGCCACAGGGCTCTATTTTAGGACCACTGTTATTTACAAATGATATCAACAGCATCGGGAAAAACATTGATCATGCCAACTGTGATTGAGGAAGCACATGGCAATGCCCCATGCACTGTACCTGTGACCAGTGACAGAGGCTTCTCCTGAGCTGACATCAGTGTCTCCGGTCAGCATCTTAAAGGTGGTGGTCTTCCCTGCTCCGTTCACACCCAGGAGCCCAAAGCACTGGAGAGAGGATGAGGAGAATATATTTTATCACTGGGTCTCTACACTGAGCCTTCCCTTGCTGTACAGCTGTGGTACTATATGGAGGTCTATAGTATAGAGTGGTACTGTACTGACCTCCCCAGGTGACACTCCCACACAGATCCTGTCCACCGCTGGCTTAGTCTTCCCCATGTATGTCTGGGAGGAGAGAGAGAGAGAGAGAGAGAGAGAGAGAGAGAGAGAGAGAGAGCGAGAGAGCGAGAGAGAGCGAGAGAGAGCGAGAGAGCGCGAGAGCGCGAGAGAGCGAGAGAGCGAGAGAGAGAGAAAGAGAGAGAGACTGAGAAAGATAGAACCATCTTGTTCACACTGCAAACTATTGAGTCAATAACCAGGAGACACATAACACAGGAGCCCTGAGTGGTCAGTTAGTTAGTTATTTAGTTAGCGTACCTTGGTGAGGTCTCTAATCTTTAAGATGTCGTTCTTGCTTCCACCATTATAGATGTGTTCTCTCTCCTGGGCCACGTCCACATCTTCCTCCATGATGGGATCCTTCTTACAATCTGTAATCCTATTATAGGTAAGAGGTCAGAGGTTGAAGGTAAGTGGTGAACCTGTGTTCTGGACCGCTCTCACAATCAATAATGCGTAGAGTTACTGGTACCAGTCAACTTGTACTGGTCAACAGATTCATATGATTCTGATCCAACAGATTCAATAACACCATTCAAAGATGAATTAGCTTCACCAATTAGATACTTTTTAAAAAAGTACTACAGCAATGTAGACTTGTATATTAGATGTGAAGTGAAGCTGTTGGTTACCAGTGATCCAGGAAGAAGCGGTACTGGATCAGTATGTTCATGATGAAATAGACAAAGCCCTCAACAGCCATGAAGACCAGGTTCTTTCCTACAAAGTCCCAACTGTACGGGTCCAGACTGAAGTCCTCACCTGACACACATACACACACACAAAGCAAAGCAAACAGGATCAGCATGTAGCATGGAGGAATCAGCATTAGTACACCATCTGATCTAACCGATGTGTGAGAAGTGGGAAACGCTTGAGAGGTGACAACACAGAATACGCTCCTGTTACACTTTAATCAGCCAGCTTCTCTTCACAGATAAGATGACATCAACACAGCTAAAACATTCATCAACAAAGCTGGGTGATGGTGGCTCTGTGGCACCTGCTCCTATAGTCTCCTATATCCACTACCCACCTACCTAGCTAACCACGCTCCCATTAGTCACCACCGGCTTTGACTGGTCTTATCGGCCGATTAGGGGAAAGCTTATTCAGATCCACTGGTTATTTATGAAGTCTGTGGCCTCAGCCGTGTCTTGGGTGTGAATCTCCTAGAGACAAATACACAGCATCATGTTTCAGACGCCGTCGGCCCGACCCGGGGCCATGGTATTCACGTCCTGTTACGGCATTCCGAGTGCATCAGGATTTGGCCTCGGGGTCTGGAGGTGTCCAAGACCTGGAGAACAGGCTAGAGTTGCTAGCGGCATTTCCCTACTGACCAATCAGAATGCAGGCCTTGGAGCGAGTGGTGGGGGTGGCAAGGGGATGAAAGGGGTGAGGGGGTTGGAGGGTGACGGGGAAGGGGGGTGTGAGAGGCGGAGGGGGTGTGACTCACCAAAGCGGGCATAGACATCAGTAACAGCCTGGTTCATAGCCATGTCGATTAGACCCCGGCCAAGACAGTAGTGGGGGAAGATCAGCAGCATCTTCTTCAGCAGCTGGTTACACTTATACAGAGCCTGAGAGAAGGAGGGAGAAAGACAGACAGACAGACAGACAGACAGACAGACAGACAGACAGACAGACAGACAGACAGACAGAGAGAGAGAGAGAGAGGGGGGGGGGGGGGGGGGAGAGGGAGGGCCAAACCACACAGTTGAATCGAGTCACTCAACAAGTACTAGTATTTGAAGCAGTCATTGAGCAGGTGTTAGAGACAGACAGCTCTGTGTGTAAGTACAGTAAGCGTTTATCCCAGTCTGTGCTCTCCACTCACCGCTGTGCTGTCAAACAGGTCAAGGATGAAGGTGATGGCACTGCTGTTGATGCCAATGAACAGGTTGATGCAGGACAGAGAGACGTAGGCTGTGCTGGGAATACTGAAGATGTAGGACATGGGGTACATCATGGGCGTCACAGACCACCTGCAGTGGACAGAGACAGGTAGGGAGCATTTTTCAAATCGTTTGATCAAGCTTACATTTTTTAAGATCATCTGAACATTTACATGTGGTCCTTGCCTAAATGTTCATTCTAGAAGAATGGTTTCCTCTGGTCCAGAATGTAATCTTATTCTGTCACAGTTGGGTGGGGTTGAGTGACGTGAGTAGCACTATAAACCTGATACAGACTGGTTGTACCACCCAGTGCTGAGGCCATCCGGTGTTGACAAGGACTACAGTTAGCGAACACTATGAGGGATGGACCACTGGAAATAAACCCACTAGCTCCATTAATACAGCACTCAACTTCTCATCGCCTGTATCACTGTACAGTACAATCCATTCATCATTTAGAGCATGCTATAAAGGACTGTTCTAGATGCTCTCTCCAAGGATAAATTACCGTTAACCTTCCACCTTTAGCCCAAGCAAAGGGGCTTACTGTACTACAGTACACTGACTTACCCATAGAGCATGAGCAGGGTTATCAGGGGTTGGAGGTTGGTTGGCGACGTGTAGCACTTCTTGTCAAAGACCATGAAAATACCCACCACCAGTGCTGCACTGATAGAGTAATTCACCTGATGAGGGGGAAGTGACACAATGAATGTCAAGCTCTATGTAGAAAGGTAAAATGTATCTATCAATCCTTTGGGCTGTTTGAGTGGACACGTATGCCCTTCGGTCATAAACTACATGATATTATGTGGAATACTGTATGCAACAGATGGGGAATACTGTTTCTACAACCTAGCTTCACTATGCTCTCTCTTCACTGGAATGATCTGTCATGCCATATTAATGTAGATTATTTAAGAGAGTGGGTAGCATCATCACAAACCATTTCGGCATATCAAGAACTTGGTGTTTGTCAATATGAGATTGCAGAGAGTATGATGGGAGGAACCGGCCCCAGGCCCAGACATACCATGTCCCAGAGGAAGTTGGCCATCCAGTAGATGACGGGACTGACCCCGCTAACGAACTGGAGGTGTTTGGCCTGGGTCACCCTCTCCTGGATGAGGTAGAGGACAAAGGAGGCTGGGACGAAGGACATGGCGAAGATCACACAAATAGCCACCATCACATCCACTGAGGTGCTCAGGCTAGGAGAGGAGAGGGATGGAGTGGGGTTAGATAGAGAAGATCACACAGATAGCCACCACCACATCCACTGAGGTGCTTACAGGTACACAGAGAGGGGTTAGATGATCCAGGAGTTCTGTCTATTACATGCTTTAATCACCTCACCTGATTGGCCAGTACTCACACAGTGACCTCTCTAGTATCAAATCTCCTGATAGGCCAGTACTCACACAGTGACTTCAGACAATTGTTCCTTGGTAAGGTTGAGAGGGTGGTTGATGGTGGTGATGCCGTATATATCCAGGCTGGCATCTTTGGGCAGGTTGGCTCTAAGGATGGCGTTGTTGGCCACGTTCATGAAGGCCACCATGGCATGCCAGCCCTTGTTGTTGTACCACACCTTCAAAAAGACAGAATGGATATTCTAGTCAATCTTCTTTTGCTGGTGTATAGTACAAAAGTAAGCCAGTGGATTGGCAGTAGTGGGTTAAATTGTAGACAGTGCACTATATGTACTTGCCTTGACATTGTATTCACTCTCCATGTATCGAAGGAAGGTTCCAATGTCCTTAAGAGTTTGTTTGGAGTATTTACCCTGGATAAAAGAGTACCATGATTGGATACATGGACAGTTACAGGGCTGTTGAAGTGTGTAAAGATCCACACCAGAGACATCTTTAGTAGACTTACCCCAGTAACATTAAGCAGTCGCCCCAGCTGTGATGCTGCGTCCTGGATGGTCTTAGGGTCCACATCTAACACAGGAAGCTGTCCACCCACAGATATACCTCCATACCTAGATAACCGAGAACAGACAACACATATAGCTCCATATCTGAACACCAGGAGTAAGACCGCATACTCAGTGAGAGCTAAAACTCCTTATACAATAACGATACTATGCCCCTGGCCACCAGAGGGCGCTACAGCATCACTTTTCTTTACATAATGGACACAGCCACCTAGCTCATTATAAATAGGCTAAGTTTTGGATTTTGTAAAATATGGAAATAGTACCTTTGTTCATTCACCCAGTATTTGCTCTTCAAACTGAACAAGAAAGACATAGGAATTGTGCCATTAGAGTTGTGTATGTAGAACAAAATAAAGTAGATGAATGCTGAAGTAGTTCCACGGTACCTGGCCTTGATGAGGGAGGGGTAAGTCTTCACCAGATAATCAGAGATATTCCTGCCTGTCAGGTCCACCAGAACATCACCTGTCGACTGGATCCTCTAAAACACAACACACACACACAAATGAACAAACAGTGTGTATATAACTTTGTGCATTGGTGACAGACTGGGATTTAAACAGGGGCCACCTGATTACCACAATACTGTGTCAGCCCATTGAGCTAAAGCCTATGCATATGTGTACACTAACCTGTGGTGGTGGAAGCCCCCCTGCTCCCTCAGGGCAGACAGGCAGCATTGTGAGTTTCCTAGGGGTACTACACTGGCAGCCTGGGGAGGGGTTAACTGAGGTCCACTCTGGTCCATCCAACATGTCTATCAGAGCAGGGTTCACCAGCGGCATCTCCCACTCTGTTGTGATGTTATTACATGGGAAATCCCTATCCCAGGAACACACAGGAACACGCACACACGCACATATGCACATTGTTACACTTGAAGTGCCTATCAGGATCAACAACAAATCATTTTTCGGGCATGTACAACGATGCCTCCTTCCTCCCCTAATGTTCGTTACTTTTGGGCGTACAGTAGCCGACTTGATATCAGTAACTGTGATATCCTTTAAGGAAGTCTCAAACTCAAGGCCTAGGGCACATCAGGCCTGCAAGTTTCTTTCTTGCCCCCAGACTGATATTTGACTCCTATTGGAATCGAGTCTTAAAGTGATGCTATACTTAGACATTTAGCAAACAGAAGTGAACTGTCCCTGGTCACTACTCACTCTAGAGGTTCATCCACCATGCAGCGAGTCCCAAATCCAGGCTTGTTTAGCAGCACCTCTCCAAAGTACCTCATCTCAGGGTCAAGGGTACGCTCGTTACTGCAAGATGGCACATCCAACAGTCAACAACAGTCTTTATCAAACATGATCAAACGCCACATTATCATAAGAGACTTCTACGTTCTACTCATGTTTTATGCCAATGGAATTGAACTTCCTCAGACTGAATCTACTCTGAATTGACTGGACGATTGATTTAACAAATGGTGCTAGTCTCAGGGCAGGACAGAAGTATCTATGCACACCTGAAGAAGGTGAACTGTCGTCCATACATCCAGGGACTAAGGGTCAGGCTGGGGTACTCTCCAAATGGAGGTACGATCGTAGTGAACATCAGTGATATGAACACAAAACTGGCAGGCAAAACTATCTGACGAAACAGAACAACAGGACACAGGGACATTTTCATATTCAAATTCTGCATCATGAAACTGGAACCATCAAGAAATGTGTAACATTATTGCACATTATTATACATAGGGATTTATAACCAATGCACATGATATAGAGGGGATGCAAAATACACTGCACAAACAGCCGTCTGTGGAGAATGGTACCTGAGCAAAGAAGTCCTTATGTGATCTTGTGGCGTGGTGAAACCGTTTGATGAGCAGGGCAAATAACTGTTTCAGGACCAGACAGACACCTTTGACCTGTCCAGAGCCCCGCCCCTCGCTGCCCTCCAAGCCCCCAGAATGCCCCTGCCTGTTGGCCTGGGTCACCCCGTCTGCCTCTGTAACGTAGGGAAAGGTCAGGAGTTAAAAGTTCACTGTCTGAGTGCTATAATAAAACTTAAATTGTCTTCTACAGTGAAAGCAATAAACACTCTGCAGCACCACATTTTAGTCATTTAGCAGACGCTCTTATCCAGAGCAATTAGGGTTAAGTGCCTTGCTCAAGGGCACATCAACAGATTTTTCACCTAGTCGGCTCGGGGATTAGAACCAGCAACCTTTCGTTTTCTGGCACAACGCTCTTAACCACTAAGCTAACTGCCGCCCCATTCAGCGTAAGACTGAATCTATGACAGCTTCCTGTAATTCCACTAGAGAACAGTATATGGGTCCAGAATTGACGTTGCCCATAGAGTCCTAGTTTAAAGACCATGGCTTATAAGATATCTGTTCATTATAGCCATTGTCATTGCAAGTGCAGTAGTTTCTAGCTTGTAGCTTGAAGCTTGTAGCCTGTTGCTTGTCATCTTTAGATTGGTCGACATAAACTGCTATTTTTGTTGTGTCCTACACTGGGTCGAGGTGTCTGCTGCCACAATCTCTGGTCTGGGGGGGGGTAGATGACAGCAAATCCAACATAACTGTCACACAAAGAACAGCACAGTACAGTATTGTACAGACCAACCCACAGAACATCACAGTACAGTACTGTACAGACCAACACACAGAACATCACAGTACAGTACTATACAGATCAACACACAGAACATCACAGTACAGTACTGTACAGACCAACACACAGAACATCACAGTACAGTACTATACAGATCAACACACAGAACATCACAGTACAGTCCTTCACAGACCAACACACAGAACATCACAGTACAGTACTGTATAGACCAACACACAGAACATCACAGTACAGTACTATACAGACCAACACAGAACATCACAGACAATACACATGTCATAAAAGATACACAGTTCAGATCTTCTTCTTTTTCAATTACCTTGTTTAGTTTTGCCAGATTTGGCTTCACCATTCGCTGTCACTTTCAGGAATATCTACAAGAGAAAAATAAAGAAAGTACAATGGTACATGGCCATCAAACATGAAAACATGAAGTGAACTGATGTATTGTGATTGAATATAGGCTCACCTCCTCCAGTGATGTGTCGGAGACCCCGAAGCTACTGAGGCCGATGTCAGAGAGGGTTTCCTCCAGCTCTCTGAAGAGGGAGGCGTAGGCCCTGGGCTGGAAGCCCTGGTTGGGCAGCAGGTAGGTCAACTCCTGGCCGATAGCCTCGATCAAACGAGCCTCTGGGACATGGTGGTGGACCAGCCCTGTGATGCTTGACAAGTCACCTGGTAGGGAGAAACACAGACACACACACACACACACACACACACACACACACACACACACACACACACACAAACACACACACACACAGACACACACACACACACACACACACACACACACACACACACACACAGAAACACACACACACAAACAGAGTCAACGTTAGTGGTGGAACCAACACTATGGTTCTGGCTATATCACCTGTTACAAGTATGTTATAACAGGTACAGAACATACAAAGACGCAACAGCTAGTGAGGAAAGTAACTATCAGATGACCATGTATAAAGGGGGTTCATGGTCCCGTATACTTATGTCACCTCAATTCCTCAATGAAAACCTTACCGTCCAACTGTCTGTCCGGGGTTTTGGCTTGACGTAACTCTTCTTTGTACGTGGTGCAGGTGGAGCACTTACACGAACACTCATCAGTACAGTCACACTTCATCTAGGACAAAGAGAAAACGTCATCAATAACACATATCTCTTTCTAGGCAATGAAATCACTCACTCACCCTAACACACACACTCTCTCTCTCTCGCTAACATAAACAACAACACACTCTAGAGGCTCTTTCCGAGATCGCATCCATCCCACCTTGGTCTTGGGTTCCTCGTATTTCATGCGTCGAACCAGGGTGAGGTAGAAGCCGGCACCGAAGCAGTTCTTGAGGAAGAGCGGGGAGCCGCAGCAGTGAAGACGACCCTGAGAGATGATGGCCACGCGGTCACTCAACAGGTCAGCCTCGTCCATGTGGTGAGTGGACAGAATCACTGTACGTCCTGGGGAGGTGGAGAGATGGCGAGAGAGAGAGAGAGAGAGAGAGAGAGAGAGAGAGAGAGAGAGAGAGAGAGAGAGAGAGAGAGGGTTATATAGGGTTAGCATTATGAGATGGCATTTTATGTTATACATTTCCGATGTTGGTAAATTTCAGTCAATCAGCTGTTGTTCCTGCTCCATCCAGCAGGAGGCATATGTACTGTGTGAACAAGACCTAGGTTCAAATACTATTTCAGGTACACTATATATTCAAAAGTATGTGGACAACTCTTCAAATTAGTGGATTCGGCTATTTCAGCCACACCTGTTGCTGACAGGTGTATAAAATCGAGCACACAGCCATGCAATTTCCATAGACAAACATTGACAGTAGAATGGCCTGACTGAAGAGCTCAGTGACTTTCAATGTGGCACCGTCATAGGATGCCACCTTTCAACAAGTCAGTTCGTCAAATTTCTGCCCTGCTAGAGCTGCCCCGGTCAACTGTAAGTGCTGTTATTGTGTAGTGGAAATGTTTCAGCCGCGAAGTGATAGGCCACACAAGCTCACAGAACGAGACCGCTGAGTGCTGCGGTTGCAACACTCACTACTGAGTTCCAAACTGCCTCTGGAAGCAAAGTCAGCACAAGAACTGTTAGTCGGCAGCTTCATGAAATGGGTTTCCATGGCCGAGCAGCCGCACACAAGCCTAAGATCACCATGCGCAATGCCAAGCGTCGGCTGGAGTGATGTAAAGCTCGCCACCGTTGGACTCTGGAGCAGTGGAAATGCGTTCTCTGGAGTGAACAATCACGCTTCACCATCTGGCAGTACAACAAACAAATCTGGGTTTGGCGGATGCCAGGAGAACGCTACCTGCACGTATGCATAGTGCCAATTGTAAACTTTGGTGGAGGGGGAATAATGGTCTGGGGTTGTTTTTCATGGTTTGGCCAGGCCCCTTAGTTCCACTGAAGGGAAATCTTAACGTTACAGCATACATGACATTCTAGACGATTCTATGCTTCCAACTTAATGCAACAGTTTGGGGAAGGCCCTTTCTTGTTTCAGCATGACAATGCCCCCGTGCACAAAGCGAGGTCCATACAGAAATGGTTTGTCGAGTTTGGTGTGGAAGACCTTGACTGGCCTGCACAGAGTCCTGACCTCAACCCCTTCACCTTTGGAAAGACTTGGAACGCCGACTGTGAGCCAGGCCTAATTGCCCAACATCAGTGCCCGACCTCACTAATGCTCTTGTGGCTGAATGGAAGCAAGTCCCCGCAGCAATGTTCCAACATCTAGTGGAAAGCCTTCCCAGAAGAGTGGAGGCTGTTATAGCAGCAAAGGGGGGACCAACTCCATATTAATGAACATGATTTTGGAATGAGATGTTCGACGAGCAGGTGTCCACATTATTTTGGTCATGTAGTGTATTTCAATTACTTTTCAATACATTTCAAAACAAGTATTCAGATAACCTTTATTTGAAAAAACAAGTAGCTGAATATTATAATGTATTTGGAAATACACTCGGAAAGTATTTGAAAATACTCTTATAAACAGACTCAAATACACTCCCATGCATTTAACTGAGGTATTTGAAAATAGTATTTGAAAATACTTTCAAATACAATTTGGTCGACTATTTGTTTTTTACAAATAACCAATCAAATACTCAAATAAAAGTTATTGTTTTGGGCTGTGTATTTGAAAATACTCAAATACACAAAAAACTTATTTAAATAACAAATACTCAAATATACATGAACTGGTGTGTACCTGATCGGTACTTGAGCAGCAGGTCCCAGATAGATCGTCTGGAGTAGGGGTCCACCCCCGACGTGGGCTCGTCCAGAATCACCACCTTGGCACCGCCTACAAACGCCATGGCAACAGACAACTTCCTCTGCATGCCGCCTGAGAGGAGAAGAGGAGAAGATGAGGACAACAACACTGGTATCTCATATCTTCATTATGACACTCTAAACACACGTTAAAGATGAAGTGTTTGTTTCATCATCACTAGCAATGAAACTAACATTTGACGTCTACTGATGAACTATATACTGTAAATGTAACTGTAAAGGCCCAACACTGTGTGTGTGTGTCTGTGTGTATCTGTTGAAACCTGAGAGGTTCTGTGCCTCCTCGTCTCTCTTGTGGGGCAGGCCCAGATCCTCCAGCATGTTCTCTACCTCCAGTTGAGCCTCAGACAGAGACCTTCCCTTCAGCAGGCTGTAGAACAGGATGTGTTCTTCTACGGTCATACTGAGGGGTGGGGGGGGGGTGGGGGGGTGGGGGGGGGGGAGTGATAGAGTGGGAGAGAGAGAGAGAGAGAGAGAGTGCCTGTGGTGAGCAGCTGCACTGTGCTGAATGCGCTCCTTCAAGGGGAACACCCCAACAGCTACATTCTATTTGCATTACATTCTTGTTTCATTATGATCTTGTCCAACATTCCCACATCAAACCAAATAGTATTTATTAAACCTGCACACACAGAACAACATCTTAATCTCCATAGACAGAGATAAATTAGACCTGTTTAGGAAGTACCTGCACTTTACCATCCCCTCCCCACACCCCAATGCAGAGAGAGAGGGGAGCGAGAGAAGAGACAGAGGCTAAGAGAGATGGACAGAGAGGATGAGGGAAAGAGAAGGAAAAGAAGTGTGGAGAGAGAGACATGGACATGGAGGAGAGAAAGACAATAGACAAATGCATCACCACATCTCATCACTCCTTGTGTCTATATGGCAATGTAAGGGGTCACCTACTGGTGAAAGAGGATGTTGTGCTGGGGACACATGCCCAGAGAGTGCCTGATGGTGTCCATGTCTGTCCGGATGTCCTTCCCATAGATGGAGGCTGTCCCCGAGGTGGGAGGGAAACATCCCCGTCAGGATAGACCTGGTGGAGACCACACAGAGGGACAGAGGATGTAGAGGACAGATAGAGTCACATGGCCAGATGTCACAGTCACAACACCTACTGTCACAAAGCTGTCCCCCAAACCAGTGGTTCTCAATCTATTTTGGTTACTCTACCCCCAATCACATTTTGCTCTGCCCAAAGTACCTGTTCATAGGCCAGGTTTCCCAAAGGATAGAAGGTACCACAGGTTGAGAAACACGGCCCTAAACTGATTAATATGGTCAAAATAAAATGGTCAAAATGATAAATGATTAGAATAAATAATGTGTCTGTGGGTGACATACATGGTGGTGGTCTTCCCAGCTCCATTGTGGCCCCAGGAAAGCAGTGATCTGGCTCTCATAGAATGTGATGCTCAGTCCGTCTACTGCAGGCTTTTGTCCCCTGCCAAACACCTTGACCAGGTTCTGAACACACACACCCTCCACCAGCCCTGCTGGCTCCCCCTCAAAGTAGGCATGACTGGGCTGACCTGGGGAGAGAGGTGAGAGTTTGGAGGTCAGATGTTAGAGGTCATTAGGATAGGGGTTGTGAGGTCAAAATCTGATATAATTAATAGATCGAATCCGATATAATTATTACAATCAGATACACTTAATCAGATAGACTTACAAATTGGTGCATTCACCTTATAGCCAGTGGGATAACCACTTTACAATAATGTTTTTTTTTGTTTTTTTGGGGGTGGGGTAAGGGGGGGTAGAAGGATTACTTTATCCTATCCCAGGTATTCCTTAAAGAGGTGGGGTTTCAAGTGTCTCCGGAAGGTGGTGAGTGACTCCACTGTCCTGGCGTCGTGAGGGAGCTTGTTCCACCATTGGGGTGCCAGAGCAGCGAACAGTTTTGACTGGGCTGAGCGGGAACTGTGCTTCCGCAGAGGTAGGGGGGCCAGCAGGCCAGAGGTGGATGAACGCAATGCCCTCGTTTGGGCTTGGGGACTGATCAGAGCCTGAAGGTACGGAGGTGCCGTTCCCCTCACAGCTCCGTAGGCAAGCACCATGGTCTTGTAGCAGATGCGAGCTTCAACTGGAAGCCAGTGGAGTGTGCGGAGGAGCGGGGTGACGTGAGAGAACTTGGGAAGGTTGAACACCAGACGGGCTGCGGCATTCTGTTATAGGGGTTTAATGGCACAGGCAGGGAGCCCAGCCAACAGCGAGTTGCAGTAATCCAGACGGGAGATGACAAGTGCCTGGATTAGGACCTGTGCCGCTTCCTGTGTAAGGCAGGGTCGTACTCTCCGAATATTGTAGAGCATGAACCTACAGGATCGGGTCACCGCCTTGATGTTAGCGGAGAACAACAGGGTGTTGTCCAGGGTCACGCCAAGGCTCTTCGCACTTTGGGAGGAGGACACAACGGAGTTGTCAACCGTGATGGCGAGATCATGGAACGGGCAGTCCTTCCCCGGAAGGAAGAGCAGCTCCGTCTTGCCGAGGTTCAGCTTGAGGTGGTGATCCGTCATCCACACTGATATGTCTGCCAGACATGCAGAGATGCGATTCGCCACCAAAGCCAGCATCCCAGGGTATGACCCAGTCTCCTGGTCTCAGAGAGGTGACCTTCCTACCAACCTCCACCACCTCACCCACTCCCTCATTCCCACCCACAGCAGGAAACACGGGAAGGATTGGATATGTGCCTTAGATGCAGATAGATGTGAACAACAAGCGTACCTTGGCAGGGTATTATAGTGTGTCATAAACAACACTGATTATATGTGCACTGATAAGGCTGGAATGGGTGTACTGTTACACAGGTGTTACAGGGTTATGAAATAGATGTTGTTTGTCAGTGCTGATAGTGAATAATAACTGTAACATAACTGTTTATGTTATTTTTGCCTCACAAAAATAACAACATCACATGACCTTGCACCACATTCCATCATGAACTGAAAGACATTATTTTATCTAGTCACTGTTTATAGCCCCAATCTGACACATCGTTGCTGATACAACATTGAATGAGATGTCTTAAGAAAAACAATGGCAAACAGTGAAGGTGAAATCAGGGGAAAGGAATTCTGCCACTTTGACTGTGTGAAAGGGAGCGAACCAAACGGGAGCTGAATCACATATTAACTAACTCTGACTGAACTCTGACTGAGGGAAATGTACCACTGTGTCTGTCTGTATTGAGTCCCGACCGGGAGAGCAAACACACTCAAGGACTGCGGGTTCCCACACACTGCCTGCCGCTAAGCATTATGGGCCGGGCAAGCAGGCCACAGAGAGAGAGAGGGAGAGAGAGAGCTCTATTGTTTCAAACCTCATCAGCGATTCATCAGAGCTGCTGGACTGAGACAAAGAGTCCATGGCCCTGATACTTACATATTTTTTTTAAAACTCCACTTAGTTATTTTCTTTAGAAGACAAGTGGATTTATTTGAATGTGTTTGGATGCCCGATAAAAGTTGTGTTCTTACCCTCTTTTTCTCCATTTTGTTTTTCCTCCTGGTTCTTCTCCTCCTCCTCCTCCTCTTCTGTTTTCCCCTTCCCCAGCCTCTCTCGTTTGTCCTGGTGTTTGCAGGATGGAAGCTCCTCATCTGGTGCCTTAGTGTTCTGGTCGTCACCTGGTACATGATTGGTCTTCTGGTTCTCTTCAGTCTGGTTTACCAGGTTGTCAAACCTGGGTTTCTCCAACTCTTTTGGCTTTGGGGGTCTGGAATTGAGCCAATAGGAGGGCAGGATGGGGAAATAAAATGGCCGACCAATTCCATACTGCCCTGTAGGAGAACAGAAATAAACACAGAGGCAGTGCTGATTTTAGAATCCACTCAGTTACATTTCAAATACAACCATCAAATAAGACCAATAGTCATGAATATCAACTCCTTTCAATCATTTCTGACAAAAGTAACCAACTGGTGCTGAGTGTCAACATTACTCCTTCTATGACCTTCATAATGAGTTTTTGTAACTGATTTAGGCATACTTACTATATGCATTTCTGCCATGTGTCATAGCATGATAGCCTGGTCCCAGATCTGTTTGTGCTATCATGTCAACTCCAAACATTGCATGACAAGGAGTGGCATGATGGCACAAACTGGTACCTAGGCTAATAGCATGGCGGCTACCTGGGAAGACGTTGTCGAGGTACCAGGCAAGGACGGCGTAGAGTACAGTATCCAGGGCCATCATGGAGATGGAGGTGAGGAAGGAGTACTCATCCCCCTCCAGAGGGCTGGTCTGGATGTTGTCCCACTGCAGACCCAGACCCTGCTCCTCATAACGGGACAAGTACTCTGTCCCAAAGCCAAACGCCACTTGGGACATCAGGCTCTGAGAGGACAGACATGGAGAGACAGACAGATAGACAGAAACAGGCCAAGGAAGGAACATCAACTGATGTTCACTGTTGAGATGGTTATCTAAACTGACTGTATGAAATATAGCATTTTCAAAGGTGTAAGACAGCAAAAACATGTCTGGAGTCAGGAGTCAGAAGCTACAGTGTGTACCAATGTCCATGCTAACATACAGTATCACTTAGAATGAATGCCAATGCATTTCTTCATGCTAAGTGATATGTTAGTGTGGATATTGAAACATAGCTAGAAGAGTAAAGAATGAAGATAGGTACATGTGTCCCAGGGGGACGTATTTTGAGGTTACACACTGCCATGATCTTGTCATCCTTGGTGATGCGGTCCTGCCATGCGAAGCAGAGGATGTGGGGCAGGTAGAGGGTGAAGTAGATGATACCGCTGCAGGCTGCAGCCAGGTTAGCCTTGTTAAAGAAGACACTGAGTAGGAAACACTGCATGATGGTGGCCGTGGTGAAGGTTAGAAGAAACAGGAACAGGATCAGGGGGTTGCTGTAGTTCAACACCTTACCACCCTGGAAGACAGATTAAAGAATTGAATTGGTTTTGTTAGTGTTTAGAGTTACAGTCCCTATTTGCTTCATGCACAAAGAATAACATACAAATTTAAGTCACATACTGTATAAGTGATTGTTATAAAATTGTGGGGACAAAAGTTACAAATTGTAGTTTATTTCACAAATCTTCCACTAGAGTTCAGAACAGTACATTCAAAACAGCAGCCTTCTGAGAGGCTCTGATATATGACATACATGAATGTTAATCATTGACCAACTAAGCATTTTGGTCATTTCCAACTTGAAGCCAATTAGGACTGACCATAATGATCCCAGTGAGCAGGGCAGTGCTGGCAGCCATCATGAGGAAGCTGTCTATGAACCATGTGACCCACAGAACCCCGTTGGTGACCCCCATGGTCTTCAAGGTCTCCTTGAGCCTGAGCTCCTTCTCCAAGACGATGCTCTTCACGGTCATAGACACTGAGTAGACCCACGCCAGCACCATAAAGATGGGGAAGCAACGGTTCAATGTCAGCATGAAGCTAGAGGAGGAGAGGTGGAATGAGAAAAGAAAGGGAAAGACGAAAGGTGGAAAAGAGAGAGAGAAGACAAAAAGAGGAAAGGGGGGAAGATAGCGAGAGGATAGACATTTTTTCGATGAGAAATGAAAATCAAAAAGTGCCATCTCTAAATGTAATAATAACATTTAACAGTGACAGGCAGGCCTTGGGTTGGTATTTGCATCTTAAGGTGAGTCACTCACAGGTCGTCCACGTAGCATGGGTAGGGCATCTGTTGTAGGTAGACACCGATGGGCCAGTCCTTGCCTGTCTGGGTCCTGATGATGCCATGCTCTATCATGTCCTGCAGATAGGCAAAGCCCCCCCACACGTAGCGCAGATCATCCATGGGGTCCGCCCTAGGACCAGGGTCCCAGTATCTGTGGACAGAGGGAGAGATGGAAAGAAATAAGGAAGAGAGGGGTATATCTGAGGGCTAGATCTGCATTCAAGCATTTGGAAATTGATTTGTTTTTAAATGGAATGTTTGTCACTAATTTACATAACAAAGACAAATGCCTCGCTGGGCACCATACCTGAAAATCCCATTAATTCAATTTCAAGTAAGAGTTGCTTACAAGCATTATGATCTTGAACTTAACCCTGATGAGTAGTCGCAGACCGTGTAGTGAAGGTAAAATCCAGTCATTCATCAGGGGGTTATATACACTGACCTGTCCTTGATCTTATTGGTGCGCTCCACTGCGTCGATGTCCATGCGGATCTTAAACCGGACGTGGGGTGGAACCTTGGTGGTCCAGGGGTAGGTGTCCATGAAGACCAGGCCAGCCCAGAACTTACTCTCCCCCATCAGACTCAGAGCTCTGTGGGTCATCTGCTCCTCATTGTTCAGCCCAGAGAACTTATCCAGGATCAGACACTGTGGAAGGGAATTCATGGATGATATATTTACAACGTATTTATAATGTATTTCAGTTTCTTTGACTGCCATGTAGGTATTAATATAAACTTGAATTTGGAAGGGGGAACAATGTCATTTGCAGGGCAATTTGGTTTCTTTATGAGGAAGAATAGTACACACACACAAACACACTCACACACACACACACATCACCCCCATCATGTCCTAATTGGGGCCACCAGTGTGTGTGGACTGTGGACTTGGACATGGGTTCCCATCCAGGGGGCTAGGGGGGGGGGGGGGGGGGGGGGGGGGGTTAGGGGCCACTAAGGGCCAGTGTTGGCTAGGGGGCCCGGACCCCATAAAGCCTTAGAGGCAGAGTTCAGATCCACTCTCATCTACTCTGACACCTCACCACCAGGCCTCCTATTGCAGCTGCTCCTCATCTGATTGAGCCATTCAACACCACACTGCCTATTACTAACATGGAGGCCCTGCATGGGCCCAGGGGGAAGAACTGAGACAAACACAACCACTGAGACACACACATGCAGAGGAATGCACAAACACGCACACACACAAACATGCAGACACACACACGCGCACACACACACTCATTAAGACTGCATAACAAACCATACACACACACTCATTAGTTTGCAAAGCATCACCCCTCCCTAATAGCCTCCAATGACAAAACTGTTGCTACACTCTTCAATCAGACTATGCCATTGCAGTGCTGTACACAAGCCCATGGGATTCCGTAGACTGCGTTCATTGTGGCGGAGCTGAAAGAGGGTGGTCAGACTGACAGCTGTAGCGAATTGGGCTAAATCGGGCCGGTCTACTCTGTCACACTGAAGTGCTGTAAGCCTCATGGAAGATAAAGACAGAGGGGCCATGCGATCCACACAGAGAGGACCAGGGTGCCCTTTTACCCCATTCTGCCACCCTTGGGGCAAGAGGCCTTACCTGCTTACCCTGATTAGTATCGAGGGGGCGAGGGGCGAGTTGAACTGTTCCCAAAGTGCTTTGAGGGGCCGAGGGGTGAGTTACACGGTTTGGCCTACTCAGATGGAGGGTCCTCGGAGAGACAGTGAAGGGAGAAAGGCCTGGGTGGGTTTGCTACCCTCTACTAGATTAGTGGGGTACAAAAGAGACTGACAGCTTTGCTTGTTGTTCTCCCTCTCCCCCTACTGAGCACATTTACATGTCTTTAGTAAGGGGCAAATTAGAAGGCCATTGAAAGGCCATACAGCGATCGTATGCTTATATCACATAGAGTGTGTATTGAGTGGGTGTTGTTGTCTGGAACTGATTCATGTTTATAGCAAGCAACAAGCAACAGGTCTGAGAACTGTGCTCAATATTTTCTTGGGGAGAAAACCTGTGAATTTGGATGTTTCGCATTTTGCATTGAGAAACACAATGCAGATTCTGGTGAAAACCTATAAGAAAAGTATCAAACCCATGAATCAAAAGACCAAGGGTTATGTTTCCGAAATGATAGTCTTGTGGTCGTCAATCCCCACCATTGTTAATGAAATGTATTGTAGACTGCATCCCAGCCCAGCCCAGTCCAGTCCTGTCCCAGTCCTGACCAGCTCACCTCTCCATACTGGTTCATCATACGGATGACTTGGTCTGTGAGGTTGAAGACATTCCTCCAATCAAAGTTGGCAATGTCGTAGTCCCTGTCTTCTATTGGCCCGTTGTACAGGAAGTTGAGGATGTGTTTAGAGGAAAACTCTGTGTCCTGTAGACTCCTGTCAATGTAGTCCCTCACCGTGGGATTCCTTATGGTGTCCTGGGGAGGGGACACCATGTTACAGCCTGAATAAAATAAAATACATCTCCCCCATCTACACACAATACCCCTTAATGACAAAGTGAAAACTTGTTTTTTGAAACAGAAATATCTAATTCACATAATATTCACACCCCTGAGTCAATACATGTTAGAATAACCTTTGACAGCAATTACAGCTGTGAGTCTTTCTGGGTAAGTCTCTAAGAGCTTTGCACACCTGGATTGTAAAATATTTGCACATTATTTATTTTGTTATTCTTCAAGCTCTGTCAAGTTGGTTGTTGATCATTGCTAAACAGCCATTTTCAAGTCTTTCCATAGATTTTCAAGCCGATTTAAGTCAAAACTGTACCTAGGCCACTCAGCAACATTCATGGTCGTCTTGGTTAGCAACTCCAGTGAATTTTTGGCCTTGTGTTTTAGGTTATTGTTCTGCTGAAAGGTGAATTAATCTCCCAGTGTGTCACGCCCTGACCTTGAGAGCCCTGTTATGTCTCTAGTTAGTTTGGTCAGGGTGTGAATGCTAGTTGTTCTAGGTTATATATTTCTATGTTGGCCGGGTGTGGTTCCCAATCAGAGGCAGCTGTCGATCGTTGTCTCTGATTGGGGCTCATACTTAGGCAGCCATTTTGCCTACCTATGGGGTGGGATCTTGTTTCTGATTCTGTTTCTGCTTGTTGCTGTTAGCGTTTAGAACGTCACGTTCAGTTGCTTTTGTTATTTTGTCAAGTGTTTATTTAATAAATTAAACATGTACGCATACCATGCTGCACCTTGGTCCAATCCTTTATACAACGAACGTGACAGAGTGTCTGGTGGAAAGCAGACTGAACCAGGTTTTCCTCCAGGATTTTGCCTGTGCTTAGCTCTATTCTGTTTATTTGTATCATTAAAAAAAACTCCCTAGTCCTTGCCGATGACAAGCATACCCATAACATGATGCAGCAACCACCATGCTTGAAAATATGAAGAGTGGTACTCAGTGATTTGATGTGTTGGATTTGCCCCAAACATAACGCTTTGTATTCAGGACATAAAGTTAATTTCTTTGCCACATTTTCTTTGCCACAAACAGGATGCATGTTTTGGAATATTTATATTCTTTTCACTTTGTCATTTAGGCTAGTATTGTGGAGTAACAACAATCCATCCTCAGTTTTCTCCTATCACAGCCATTAAACTCTGTAACTGTTTTAAAACTCTGTAACTGTTTTAAAGTCACCATTGACCTCATGGTGAAATCTCTGAGAAGTTTCCTTCCTCTCCGGCATCTGAGTTAAGAAGGGCGCCTGTATCTTTGTATTGACTGTGTGTATTGATACACCATCCAAAGTGTAATTAATAACTTCACCATGCTCAAAGGGATATTCATTGTCTGCTTATTTTTTTTACCCATCTACTGTACCAATAGGTGTACTTCTTTGCGAGGCAATGGAAAACCTCCCTGGTCTTTGTGGCTGAATCTGAAATTCACTGTTGGACTGAGGGACCTTACACATAATTCCACTTTGACATTATGGGTTATTGTGTGTAGACCTGTGACACAAAATCTCACTTTAATCAATATTAAATTCAGCCAGTAACACATCAAAATGTGGAAAAAGTCAAGGGGTGTGAATACTTTCTGAAGGAACTTCAACTGGAGGTGTGTCTCCCTAGATACAACTACCACAAAACAACCAACAAAAATGGGTCACAACTCTTGCAGCTCTGTCGCACGCTGGGTCTGTACATAGTCAAATGGTAGGCTTCGAGGGGACTCCTACGGTAGGTACACCTACAGCTCATTGCTTGGCACATAATTAGTTAAATAAAGTCCACCAGTGTGCAATCTAAGTGTCACATTATCTGTCACATGATCTCAGTATATATACACCTGTTCTGAAAGGCCCCAGAGTCTGCAACACCACTAAGCAAGGGGCACCACCAAGCAAGCGGCACCATGAAGACCAAGGAGCTCTCCAAACAGGTCAGGGACAAAGTTGTGGAGAAGTACAGATCAGGGTTGGGTTATGAAAAAATATCAGAAACTTTGAACATCCCATGGAGAACCATTAAATCCATTATAAAAACATTGAAAGAATATGGCACCACAACAAACCTGCCAAGAAAGGGCCGCCCACCAAAACTCACAGACCAGGCAAGGAGGGCATTAATCAGAGAGACAACAAAGAGACCAAAGATAACCCTGAAGGAGCTGCAAAGCTCCACAGTGGAGATTGGAGTATCTGTCCAAAGGACAACTTTAAGCCGTACACTCCACAGAGCTGGGCTTTACGGAAGAGTGGCCAGAAAAAAAGCCATTGCTTAAAGAAAAAAATAAGCAAACACGTTTGGTGTTCGCCAAAAGCCATGTGGAAGACTCCCCAAACATACGGAAGAAGGTACTCTGGTCAGATGAGACTAAAATTGAGATTTTTGGCCAAGAAGGAAAACACTATGTTTAGCGCAAACCCAACACCTTTCATCACCCTGAGAACAGCATCATGCTGTGGGGATGTTTTTCATCAACAGGAACTGGGAAACTGGTCAGAATTGAAGGAATCATGGATGGCGCTAAATACAGGGCAATTCTTGAGACTGGGACTTTGCATCTTCAAAGTGGTAGGCATGTTGTGTAAATCAAATGATACAACCCCCCAAAAATCCATTTTAATTCCAGGATGTAAGGCAACAAAATAGGAAAAATGCCAAGGGGGTTGAATACGTTCGCACTGTAAGTGTCAATAGTAAATGTAATTGCTAAAATATACAGTGGGGGAAAAAGTATTTAGTCAGCCACCAATTGTGCAAGTTCTCCCACTTAAAAAGATGAGAGAGGCCTGTAATTTTCATCATAGGTACAAGTCAACTATGACAGACAAAATGAGAAAAAAAATTCCAGAAAATCACATTGTAGGATTTTTAATGCATTTATTTGCAAACTATGGTGGAAAATAAGTATTTGGTCAATAACAAAAGTTTCTCAATACTTTATTATATACCCTTTGTTGGCAATGACATAGGTCAAACGTTTTCTGTAAGTCTTCACAAGGTTTTCACACACTGTTGCTGGTATTTTGGCCCATTCCTCCATGCAGATCTCCTCTAGAGCAGTGATGTTTTGGGGCTGTCGCTGGGCAACATGGACTTTCAACTCCCTCCAAAGATTTTCTATGGGGTTAAGATCTGGAGACTGGCTAGGCCACTCCAGGACCTTGAAATGCTTCTTACGAAGCCACTCCTTCGTTGCCCGGGCGGTGTGTTTGGGATCATAGTCATGCTGAAAGACCCAGCCACGTTTCATCTTCAATGCCCTTGCTGATGGAAGGAGGTTTTCACTCAAAATCTCACGATACATGGCCCCATTCATTCTTTCCTTTACACGGATCAGTTGTCCTGGTCCCTTTGCAGAAAAACAGCCCCAAAGCATGATGTTTCCACCCCCATGCTTCACAGTAGGTATGGTGTTCTTTGGATGCAACTCAGCATTCTTTGTCCTCCAAACATGACGAGTTGAGTTTTTACCAAAAAGTTATATTTTGGTTTCATCTGACCATATGACATTCTCCCAATCCTCTTCTGGATCATCCAAATGCACTCTAGCAAACTTCAGACGGGCCTGGACATGTACTGGCTTAAGCAGGGGGACACGTCTGGCACTGCAGGATTTGAGTCCCTGGCGGCGTAGTGTGTTACTGATGGTAGGCTTTGTTACTTTGGTCCCAGCTCTCTGCAGGTCATTCACTAGGTCCCCCCGTGTGGTTCTGGGATTTTTGCTCACCGTTCTTGTGATCATTTTGACCCCACAGGGTGAGATCTTGTGTGGAGCCCCAGATCGAGGGAGATTATCAGTGGTCTTGTATGTCTTCCATTTCCTAATAATTGCTCCCACAGTTGATTTCTTCAAACCAAGCTGCTTACCTATTGCAGATTCAGTCTTCCCAGCCTGGTGCAGGTCTACAATTTTGTTTCTGGTGTCCTTTGACAGCTCTTTGGTCTTGGCCATAGTGGAGTTTGGAGTGTGACTGTTTGAGGTTGTGGACAGGTGTCTTTTATACTGATAACAAGTTCAAACAGGTGCCATTAATACAGGTAACGAGTGGAGGACAGAGGAGCCTCTTAAAGAAGAAGTTACAGGTCTGTGAGAGCCAGAAATATTGCTTGTTTGTAGGTGACAAAATACTTATTTTCCACCATAATTTGCAAATAAATTCATTAAAAATCCTACAATGTGATTTTCTGGAGAAAAAAATTCTCAATTTGTCTGTCATAGTTGACGTGTACCTATGATGAAAATTACAGGCCTCTCTCATCTTTTTAAGTGGGAGAACTTGCACAATTGGTGGTTGACTAAATACTTTTTTTCCCCACTGTAAAGCAGTGTTGGAGTGGGGAAACATACAATAATATAAAATCAATGTACACAAAAAGGTCTGTAGTTAAAATTGGCAATAAACAGATTTCTTTCCTCAGAGCCGTGGGGTGAGACAGGAAGCCCCACCCTCTTTGGAAGGTATTCAGACCCCTTGACTTTTCCACATTTTGTTAGGATACAGCCTTATTCTAAAATTGATTAAATTGTTTGTTTTTTCTCATCAATCTGCACACAATACCCCATGATGACAAAGCAAAAACAGGTTTTTAAACATTTTTGCTAATTTATCAACAAAACGGAAATATCACATAAAAATCCAGAAAAGAGCTGTTCAATTCTACAACCAGAAAGAAAACTGAGCAAACTGGAATGCTATCTGGCCCTAAACAGAGAATACACCGTAACAGACTACCTGACCACTGTGACAGACCCAAAATTGCTACTGAGAGAGGCCGTATAGGCAGCACACTGCCCACAAAATGAGGTGGAAACTGAGCTGCACTTCCTAACTTCCTGCCAAATGTATGACCGTATTAGAGACACATATTTCCCTCAGATTACACACACCCACAAAGAATTCCAAAACAAATCCAATTTTGATAAACTCCCATATCTATTAGGTGAAATACCAATGTGTGCAATCACAGCAGCAATATATGTGACCTGTTGCCACATGAAAAGGGCAACCAGTGAAGAACAAACACCATTGTAAATATAACCCATATGTATGTTTATTTTTTTCCCTTTTGTACTTTAACTATTTGCACAACATGACAACACTTGAAATGTCTTTATTCTTTTGGAACTTTTGTGAGTGTAATGTCTACTGTTCATTTTTTATTGTTTATTTCACTTTTGTTTATTATCTATTTCAATTGCTTTAGCAATGTAAACATGTTTCCCATGCCAATAAAGCCCTTAAATTGAATTGAGAGAGAGAGAGAGAGAGAGAGAGAGAGAGAGAGAGAGACGACATTGTAGAATAGTGAAGACATCAAAACTATGAAATAACACATATGGAATCATGTAGTAATCAAAAAAGTGTTATACAAATCAAAATATATTTTATATTTGAGATTCTTCAAAGTAGCCACCCTTTGCCTTGATGACAGCTTTGCACACTCTTGGCATTCTCTCAACCAACTTCATGAGGTAGTCACCTGGAATGCATTTAAATTAACAGGTGTGCCTTGTTAAAAGTTAATGTGTGGAATTTCTTTCCTTCTTAATGCGTTTGAGACAATCAGCTGTTCAGAGGAGACTGCGTGAATCAGACCTTCATGGTCGAATTGCTGCAAAGAAACCACTACTAGAGGTCACCAAGAAGAGACTTGCTTGGGCCAAGAAACACGAGCAATGGACATTAGACCGGTGGAAATCTGTCCTTTGGTCTGATGAGTCCAAATATATTTTTTCATTTGTTTAACACTTCTTTGGTTACTACATGATTCCATATGTGCTATTTCATAGTTTTGATGTCTTCACTATTATTCTACAATGTAGAAAATAGTAAAAATAAAGACAAACCCTTGAATGAGTAGGTGTGTCCAAACTTTTGACCGGTAGTGTATATATATATATATATATATATATATATATATATATATATATATAAACCACCGTTCAAAAGTTTGGGGTCACCTAGAAATGTCCTTGTTTTTGAAAGAAAATTAAATTTGATCAGAAATACAAAATCAATTTGATCAGAAATACAGTGTAGACATTGTTCATGTTGTAAATGGCTATTGTAGCTGGAAACGGCAGATTTTTTATGGAATTCCTACATAGTCGTACAGAGGCCCATTATCAGCAACCATCAGTCATTTACATTTACATTTTAGTCATTTAGTAGACGCTCTTATCCAGAGCGACTTACAGTTAGTGAGTGCATACATTTTTCATACTTTTTCAGTCCTGTGTTCCAATGGCATGTTGTGTTTGCTAATCCAAGTTTGGCATTTTAAAAGGCTAATTGATCATTAGAAAACCCTTTTGCAATTATGTTAGCACAGCTGAAAACTGTTGTGCTGATTAAATAAGCAATAAAACTGTCCTTCTTGAGACTAGTTGAGTATCTGGAGCATCAGCAATTGTGGGTTCGATTACAGGCTCAAAATGGCCAGAAACAAATAACTTTCTTCTGAAACTCGTCAGTCTATTCTTGTTCTGAGAAATTAAGGCTATTCCATGCGAGAAATTCGTCACAGCTGACATCATTTTAACATCTTATAGAGGTCGAACTATGACAAAACCACAGTAGTAGTAGAGGGATGTTAATGTTATGTCATTTCACACCAGAACTGGGTCAATCGTTCAATGCATTATTTTGAGATAACAATGATAAGCCTCAGTTAGTTTGAATTGACCATGTTGGTGTTTGTAGAGTGTATGGGACTGTAGCCTTCCTTACCCTGATCATGTTCATCTGAATGCTGTCCTGGAAGAAGGCCCAAACCTGAGGACCCACCTCCTCCCAGGCCCGACCCATGGTCCTCAGCCTCTCCAGCTCCTCAAATGTGGTGTTGGCCTAGAGGACACACACACACACACACACACACATATCAGCACACACACATACTCACGTACGCTCAGACAGTATGCACATATGCACGTATGAACACCCACACAAACACTCATAGACACACTCACACACACTACACATGCACAATAATTCACACACACCGTTTCTAATTTCTAGTTGCATACCATTCACACATTACAGTGCCTGTGAAAATAATCAAAGATATAGCTTATCATTTAGCATACAGTGTGTGTAGCCTGTCCTACAGTGTTCTGTGGTATACACATACCAAGTGAGGCTGACTGTAGCATTTACATTAATACGTGTGATAAAAGCGTGGAAAAGCAACACCCAATTAAACACCTTCCTCTTGTGTCTCAGATCTCTGGTGACAAAGGGACAATGACGCTAAGGAGACAATGTTGTTGGTGACAATTGGCCGAACGCATTCAGCTTGCCTACCGATTCACCCTTTTCCCACAGGATCCCACAGGCAGAAGACTGCTCTACAGTCACAAAGCAAACAAAGATAAACAGACAATGCAACCCAAATGGCACCCTATTCCCTAGTGCCCTACTAGTAGTGCACTTGGTAGGGTTAGGGTGCCGTTTGGGACAAAGACAGGGTGGCTCCTGCCCCAGGCTGGGAGGACAACTGAGGGGATGTGGCTCAATGCCTGGGGACCTGGGGAGGAGTGGGATGTCTTGCACTCATTACCAAGACCATAGGCGCTTTACCTTGGAGCAAAGCAAATCTGTTTGTCTGTCTCCCCTCCTCTCCTCTCACCTCTGGGTGACTTCTCAGCCCCTCCAGGGTGTTTCAGAGTTCAGAGTGACACGAAGAGAGAAAGAGAAAGAGAGAGAGCATGAGAGAGAGAAAGAGAGAGTGTGAGTGTGAGAGAGCGCGTGTGAGAGAGAGAGACAGAAAGAGAGAGAAAGAGCAGAGAGCGAGAGAAAGAGAGAGAGAGAGGGATGTGATCACTAATCACAGGGCTAAGATAAGACACAGTCTAAGACAGAGGTACAGTGCATTTGGAAAGTATTCAGACCCCTTGACTTATTCCACATTTTGTTACATTACAGCCTTATTCTAAAATTGATTACATTGTTTTTTTCTCTCATCAATCTATACATGATACCCCAAAATGACAAAGCAAAAACAGTTATTTTTTTGTTTTTTTGGCAAATGTATTAAAAATAAAGTATTCAGACCCTTTCCTCAGTACTTTGTTGAAGCACCTTTGGCAGCAATTACAGCCTCGAGACGCTACAACCTTGGCACACCTTTATTTGGGGAGTTTCTCCCATTCTTCTCTGCAGATCTTCTCAAGCTCTGTCAGGTTGGATGGGGAGCGTCGCTGCACAACTATTTTCAGGTCTCTCCAGAGATGTTCGATCGGGTTCATGTCCGGGCTCTGGCTGGGCCACTCAAGGACATTCAGAGACTTGTCCCGAAGCCACTCCTGAGTTGTCTTGGCTGTGTGCTTAGGGTCATTGTCCTGTTGGAAGGTGAACCTTTGCCCCAGTCTGAGGTCCTGAGCAGGTTTTCATCAAGGATCTATCTGTCTTTGCTCCGTTCATCTTTCCCTCGATCCTGACTAGTCTACCAGTCCCTGCCGCTGAAAAACATCTCCACAGCATGATGCTGCCACCACCATGCTTCACCGTAGGGATGGTGCCAGGTTTCCTCCAGACGTCACGCTTGGCATTCAGGCCAACAAGTTCAATCTTGGTTTCATCAGACCAGAGAATCTTGTTTCTCATGGTCTGAGAGTCTTTAGGTGCCTTTTGGCAAACTCCAAGCTTGCTGTCATGTGCCTTTTACTGATGAGTGGCTTCCGTCTGGCCACACTACCATAAAGGCCTGACTGGTGGAGTGCTGTAAAGATGGTTGTGCTTCTGGAAGGTTCTCCCATCTCCACAGAGGAACTCTGGAGCTCTGTCAGAGTGACCATCAGGTTCTTGGTCACCTCCCTGACCAAGGCCCTTCTCCCCCGATTGCTCAGTTTGGCTGGGCGGCCAGCTCTAGGAAGATTCTTGGTGGTTCCAAACTTCTTCCATTTAAGAATGATGGAGGCCACTGTGTTCTTGGGGACCTTCAATGCTGCAGATATATTTTGGTACCCTTCCCCAGATCTGTGCCTCGACACAATCCTGTCTCAGAGCTCTATGGACAATTCCTTCGACCTCATGGCTTGGTTTTTTCTGTGACATGCACTGTCAACTGTGGGACCTTATACAGTGGGGAAAAAAAGTATTTAGTCAGCCACCAATTGTGCATGTTCTCCCACTTAAAAAGATGAGAGAGGCCTGTAATTTTCATCATAGATACACATCAACTATGACAGACAAAATGAGGAAAAAAAATCCAGAAAATCACATTGTAGGATTTTTTATGAATTTATTTGCAAATTATGGTGGAAAATAAGTATTTGGTCAATAACAAAAGTTTCTCAATACTTTGTTACATACCCTTTGTTGGCAATGACACAGGTCAAACGTTTTCTGTAAGTCTTCACAAGGTTTTCACACACTGTTGCTGGTATTTTGGCCCATTCCTCCATGCAGATCTCCTCTAGAGTAGTGATGTTTTGGGGCTGTCGCTGGGCAACACGGACTTTCAACTCCCTCCAAAGATTTTCTATGGGGTTGAGATCTGGAGACTAGCTAGGCCACTCCAGGACCTTGAAATGCTTCTTACGAAGCCACTCCTTCGTTGCCCGGGCGGTGTGTTTGGGATCATTGTCATGCTGAAAGACCCAGCCACGTTTCATCTTCAATGCCCTTGCTGATGGAAGGAGATTTTCACTCAAAATCTCACGATACATGGCCCCATTCATTCTTTCCTTTACACGGATCAGTCGTCCTGGTCCCTTTGCAGAAAAACAGCCCCAAAGCATGATGTTTCCACCCCCATGCTTCACAGTAGGTATGGTGTTCTTTGGATGCAACTCAGCATTCTTTGTCCTCCAAACACGATGAGTTGAGTTTTTACCAAAAAGTTATATTTTGGTTTCATCTGACCATATGACATTCTCCCAATGATCTTCTGGATCATCCAAATGCACTCTAGCAAACTTCAGACGGGCCTGGACATGTACTGGCTTAAGCAGGGGGAAATGTCTTGCACTGCAGGATTTGAGTCCCTAGCGGCGTAGTGTGTTACTGATTGTAGGCTTTGTTACTTTGGTCCCAGCTCTCTGCAGGTCATTCACTACGTCCCCCCGTGTGGTTCTGGGATATTTTCTCACCGTTCTTGTGATCATTTTGACCCCACGGGGTGAGATCTTGCGTGGAGCCCCAGATCGAGGGAGATTATCAGTGGTCTTGTATGTCTTCCATTTCCTAATAATTGCTCCCACAGTTGATTTCTTCAAACCAAGCTGCTTACCTATTGCAGATTCAGTCTTCCCAGCCTGGTGCAGGTCTACAATTTTGTTTCTGGTGCCCTTTGACAGCTCTTTGGTCTTGGCCATAGTGGAGTTTGGAGTGTGACTGTTTGAGGTTGTGGACAGGTGTCTTTTATACTGATAACAAGCTCAAACAGGTGCCATTAATACCGGTAACGAGTGGAGGACAGAGGAGCCTCTTAAAGAAGAAGTTACAGGTCTGTGAGAGCCAGAAATCTTGCTTGTTTGTAGGTGACCAAATACTTATTTTCCACCATAATTTGCAAATAAATTCATTAAAAATCCTACAATGTGATTTTCTGGATTTTTTTTTCTCAATTTGTCTGTCATAGTTGACGTGTACCTATGATGAAAATTACAGGCCTCTCTCATCTTTTTAAGTGGGAAAACTTGCACAATTGGTGGCTGACTAAATACTTTTTTTCCCCACTGTATAGACAGGTGTGTGCCTTTCCAAATCATGTCCAATTAATTGAATTTACCACAGGTGGACTCCAATCAAGTTGTAGAAACATCTCAAGGGTGATCAATAGAAAAAGGATGCACCTGAGCTCAATTTCGAGCCTCATAGCATATTTACTTATGTAAATACGGTATTCCAGATTGTTATTTGTAATACATTTGCAAAAAAAAATTAAAACGTGTTTTCGCTTTGTCATTATGGGGTATTGTGTGTAGATTGATGAGGAAAAAATATATTTAATCAATTTTAGAATAAGGCTGTAACGTAACAAAATGTGGAAAAAGTCAAGGGGTCTGAATACTTTCCGAATGCACTGTATGCTGTTATGCTAGCTCATAGCTTCACTATGTTTACAAAAGAAGTGACGCGCGACCGACCATGTGAGTTTTCACCATCACTGTAAAGCCCTTGCTATTATGTTGCTTTGACAAAGTAATTTCCAAAGATTATTATTTATTTCATATTACTAGTGATTCATTTTAAGGTAAAAAAAATCCTGTCCCTCATTTTAAGGTCAACCTATTCCTTTTAAAATATTTTTTCAAAAGAGACATTGAACATCTGATAGAAAAATCACAGTGTAAAAGCAGGTGAGCTGGTTCTACTCTTTTTGGCCATTTTCTGTTGGAAGTGTTGGAAAACTGAGCAGGTCGAGCAAAACACATAAATCATGTTACCCATAGAAAGTCAGGTTAGAAATGTTTTAACAATTTTTTTTTTTGGGTGAAGCTTGCATTCAATTGCCCCTCCCTATTACACACAACAAACTTCCATTCCCCCTGTCACAAGTGGCTTTATGGCTGGTTTAAGATGAAGTCGTCAAACCTGTTACGGTCAACCCTGTACTTTTTTTGGCACTTTTCGAAAACATTTTTTTTATTAAGTTTAGCATGTGCTCTTTATGACAGAATGTTCAAATGAGGTGAAATAAAACGTTTTATTCCCCCCCCCACCAAGCTACACTCCTCAAAAGGCACTCAAAAGGGGTCAGTTCAAGGAGGGGGTCATCAGGTCTGGAAGAGGGAGGGATGGAGAAAAGAGGGAGAGTGTAGGCCATGTTTTGGTATGTGCAGCAGAGTGATGGCTTAACCCCTAGTTCCCTTCCCTTCCATGCAATTAACATCCAGATCTGAGGGAAATGGAAGAAAAAGAGGGCACTAAAGGTCGGGGGAGTTGAAGCTGGTGTGTGTGTGTCTTTGTGAGTGCAAGCGTGTGAGTGTGTGCGTGCATGCATGTGTGTGACCCTCACAGTGTCAGGCTCTGCTTCCATAACAAGAGGAGGAGAATACAATGCAACAGAGTGTGTCCCAGTTACTATGTGTAGTAGACGATACAGATGTGTGTTCCTATTGTGACACACCCAGCCGTGACTGTTAGGTTCTTCAGGATTCTTACAGACATGTCTGTACATCTACGCTCTACAGAGCGCCAAGCACTGATTCACAAATTCCTAAATACTGCCTGTGTTCAGAACGAAGACCACTGTTTAACAAGTATGTCACCATCTATTGAACAATCTGCAATGGATGTTCATGTTTCTAACACTTCTGTCTGCTGATTGTCAGTACTCCACTTTTTATTATTAGCAATAGTCAACTCACCTGGTTTCCCAAGTCTAAAATGATTAATGGACTAAATCCAGCAGACTCTGCTATAACCTGGTGTGATTCATCCCTAGTCTACCACATACATTTGCTGTATGTAGCTCCCTTACATTTCTGATTATCTTTCTGACGGCTGGGGAGTCGGGTGCGTAGAGGATCTTCCCCATCAGCATGGGCTTGACAGAGCTCCACATGATCCTGGTGATGGGATTGGACTCTAGCTCCTTCATCAGATCATTACAGAACGGAGCTGGGGGATAAGACAGTATAGAACATTTATAGAACCTTAGAGATGATTGAGAGAACCTGTAACACACTGTGATCGGGTTGAACCCTAACTCCTGCATCAGATCAGAACAGATTTTGGGATAAGACAGGAGACTCTCAGGTCAAGCAATTATCTTTTTTTGATCTCAAGAAAGTAAAGCTGACAAAATAAAACGCTCTGTCCCACAACACCTTTCCTGCTCCCAATCACCTGCTACATTTGACGTAGTTGGCAGAGGAGAGGGGTTGTTAGTTCCCAACCAGCCACATACTGAAAATAGTTACTGTATTAGTGACTGAATGCTGACCCACTGGCGGTGTGACTGTAGGTGTACTGTCCCTGCCTCTATCTGTCTCTTCGCTAAACTGAATCTGGCTACTATATTAGTGACTTATTACTGTATTAGTACTCACTGGCGGTGTGGTCGTAGGTGTACTGTCCCTGTCCTCCCCGGGTGCTATCGTTGATCCCCATGAAGGCCTTGTAGTTGTTGTCCTCATACCAGTTGAAGGAGGCCACCCGAGAGAAGGCCCCCTCCATGTAGCCACACACCAGGCTGGACACAGCCCCCATCAGCTGGCTGAAAGACGGGGGAGAGCCCCCCTGGGGCCCCTGGGTCTGGAGCAGGGGGGACATCACCTCCACCAGCGCTCTGGAGCTGTTCCTCTCTAACAACTGGGGGGCGAGTTAGGGAAGAAAGTTGTTATTTAGAAACTGTATGAAAGTGATGACTCTGAATCATGTATGACAGGGCTATATTTACAAGCATTTCGCTACACCCGCAATAACATCTGCTAAATATGTGTATGTGACCAATAACATTTTATTTTATATATAATGTGACCAAATAGGAGGATGTGTACAGCCATATTAGGTTGATTAGGTTATGTGTCAACAAAGTCTCTGATTCCATATTAATTTAAGAGAAACCTAAATGTCTAAGCTTATTAGTCTCACAGGTTCGGGCGGTGTATGGGTGAGGCACATTTCCCTCTAACAAAATAAAAACAAACTAAAGAGATTCCAAAGGGAGGAGGGGTGGGTTGTAGGGGGGAGAAGGGATTGTCCAGTGTATGTCCCTGAGGGCCCATTAGAACCAGGGGAGGTGTTGAGAGTGTGTAGTGCAGTGCTTCTGACAACCACTCTTAACAAACAGCCCCAGCAATGGGACAGCACCACAGTGTTTACATAGAAACCACAGTAATGGGACAGCACCACAGTGTTTACATAGAAACCACAGTAATGGGACAGCACCACAGTGTTTACATAGAAACCACAGTAATGGGACAGCACCACAGTGTTTACATAGAAACCACAGTAATTGGACAGCACCACAGTGTTTACATAGAAACCACAGTAATGGGACAGCACCACAGTGTTTACATAGAAACCACAGTAATGGGACAGCACCACAGTGTTTACATAGAAACCACAGTAATTGGACAGCACCACAGTGTTTACATAGAAACCACAGAGAAAATAGATTTTTTGTGGTTTCTTCTACATTGGAAGACACATACCGTAACTAACACCACTGCTAGACTTAACAGACATAGAGAAAATGAGTATTTCTGTTCTAGCCAACAGAGCAGTGTGATTTCTGAGGCAGAATTTCCACTCAGCTGGCGTATCTACTGTACAGCTACAGTGTTCGGTTTATGGAACCAGACAAAAATGGAATTTGGAAAATGACCGACTGGCGTCACGTCTTCTGTCACGGGGCGGCAGACAAGAATCCAGACGGCCCCACCAACAGGATGTCCCCTCTGCAGAAAGTCCCTCTTGTGCCCTCCCCCCGCCTCCCTCTCCCTGCAATCACCACTTCCCCTGGGGTCATCCACCTGACCCGTCAACCTTTGACATTTGTCTGAGGGCCTCACCTGTGCTATAACCCTCACTTACAGCTGTCCAGACTGATTGCCTGTTGATCTTTCTGTGTCTGCATCCCAAACGGCACCCTAATCCGTAAAGAGCTGTGTGATTTACCTCTGTAAATGAAAAGCGCTCTACAAATGTAATTTAGTATTATTATTGCTTTTGACTATTGCCCATTGGGCTCTGGTCAAAAGTAGTGCACTATATAGGGGTTAGGGTGTTACTTCGGACACAGCCTGTGAATGCGGCTCCATGTCGAGACTAAAGGGTTATTGGGGCTGGATTTAGCCTTCCTCATACGCACTCATGATATCCCTGCTGTCTGTGTTTGCGTAAAGACCCGAGCAGGGAGGAAGCAGTGACTTCCTGAGGGATAGAAATAGGGTGGCGGATGAACTTTGGGATGGATGATGGTTCTAACGGTAGTAGGGTTGACCTCTGGCAGTTTTATAGGCGGCGGAGAGAATCGTGTGCGTGTGTGTGTGTGTGTGTGTGTGTGTGTGTGTGTGTGTGTGTGTGTGTGTGCGTGTGTGTGTGCTTACCTCTCGCAGCTTTTCGGAGGCGGCGGAGAGTACTCTGGCCCAGAAGTTTAGGTCGACGCCGTCGGAGTGGTTATCCAACACCCGGGGAAGCTGGAAGGAGGAACAGAGCTGTCAAAATGACTGTCACATCCTTACCAACAGTGGCGACGCGTCATTCAGGGCAGGTGGGGCAGAGCCTGTTCAGCATGTTATTTTGGCATTAATACGTGTCACATATCAGTTTGCAAACAATGTAAAATAAATCATTGAGTTAATAAAGCCGCATACAAACATAGTCTCTTTTTTGCTTTCTTGAGTAAGGCAGCTCCAAAATGCAGGTGTTTCAGCCTAGCTCAGTGCTTTCTGTGGTGGTGGGGCAGCCAGCGGAAAATACGGAGCGTAGGGGTTGGTAATGTTCTCTAGTTGCGCCGTGATTGGCTCAGTGTTCTGTCACTCATGGGGACACTATGTCACCGCAAAATGTACGGATAGTGCTAGAAAATTCAAGCCCCTTGGGTGCTGCCATAGACCTACATTAGAAGTGCCCATCCAAGAAGGCTCAAGGTCATTGGCCACAGATAAAATGATGTCAAATCGCGTTATATCTACCGTAGCTTTGATTGGACTGATCATGTCAACATCATACTTTCAAAATTTTAGCTAGCAAGCTAGACAAGCAGTCATCATCATGCATGAAGTCGGCAATCTACTGGCAAATCCTTTTCAATCCTTGTCCTTTGAAGAGAAATTATAGATAAAACATATCGGCGCTCATCGGCCATTGGACATAAACATTACACAACAAGTTGGAAATCGCAAATTCAACAATGAATGCTGGGATGATAGCCGTATCATAGTCATCAGAGTAAAGTTAACATAGAAAACACAAGTGATTCATTGTCATGAATGTGATACATTTACATTGTAGTCATTTAGCAGACGCTCTTATCCAGAGCAATTAGGGTGAAGTGCCTTGCTTAAGGGTACATCGACAGATTTTTCACCTAGTCGGCTCTGGGATTAGAACCAGCGACCTTTCGGTTACTGGCACAACGCTCTTACCCACTAAGCTACCTGCCGCCCATAAATTAAAAAATGAATAGATAAACTGCCATACACTAACATTTCACAGTCTTAATTTTGCCTGAAGTGGGTGTAAGCTACCTCTGTCACGGATACAGCCGAGGCTGCCCCTCCTCCTTGCTCGGGCAGGCTTCGGCGTTCGTCGTCACCGGAGTACTAGCTGCCACCGATCTATGTTTCTGTGTCACACTAGTCCTGTCTTTATTATTCACACCTGTTACTCATTAGGCTTATTGGTTTCCCTATATTACCTCTGTTTTCCCTCCTGGGTTTGTACGTGATTGTTCATTGTTATGTCGTCTGTTGAGCTGTTGTTTTGCTCTTCCCTGCGTGGAGGGTTTGATATGGTTTACTTTGTGTTTAGTAAAGCCATACTTTTCTCAGTTCTGTGTCCTGCGCCTGATTCCGTTTCACCACTTCACCCAGACGCTGACAACCTCATCATTTATATGGTAAGTAATGTCATGTCATTCATGTGCTTGTTCTGTCATCTGAAAAACTCAACAACAACAAAAAAGTATAACAACTAATTCACTTTCCCACATAGGAACACAGAAAGCACTGAATCTGCTGACAAGTGCATTGTCATCATCTTCTGTATCCTGAACTACAGTATCTCCAGTAACTGTTTCTTCCAGGGAATATTTCAGCTGGGGAAACTTCTAACTACCTCACAACACAATGGGCTAGAAGTCAGGAAATGGTGCACGGCAGCGACGCACAACTCCAAAATAAGACATCCTTCCTCTCTGACATTCCTCACTATCTCCTGAGATCTAATGGGCTTGTTTCAAAGAAGAGACACATATACACACACACACACACAGCCCTAATTGGGGCCAACAGTGTGTGTAGACGTGACCATGGGACCATAAACACAGGTGATTATAGAAAAGCTCCCTTAGGTTTAGTCTGGTAGGGAGGCATGGCATCTATAATCTCATTATTGAAAGAGGCCAAGTCCCAATACCTGATATACTCTGCTAAAACTGGTACTTGAGCAGTCTGTGGTCATTCAACTCCCTGTATGTTGCCTCAATCTATCTCAACCATGTAGCCAATGCAGAGGGGAAGTGGATGACAGGTACAGTATATATTAGGTGAAATAGTGTAGCCATAGATGTACAGAGACTTTCATGTTACTGCAGCCCACCACTAATTTTACTTCAGTTTCATTACACAGTAGTGGATTGTTGTTTTCCTGTTTAATTTTGTCAGTAGTGATTCGTCACTTTTAGAAATTCAATGGTCTGTATCTAGGCAGTACAACAGTAAAGGAAATGTGTGCTGATGACTTACAACATACACATTGTTTAAAGCCATGCAATTCCATCATGACTCATGCCAACTCCCCCCAACTGATGCCAACTTTCCTCAACTCGCTTCAACTCACCCCAACTGGTGCCAACTCTCCCCAACTTATGTCGATCAGCTCATGCTGTGGGTGTTGGCAGACAGTTGGAACAGCCAATAGTAGTCCCCAATGACACATGCCGGCCAATCTTTGTTGGTAAGTAAATAAACAAGATGGCAGCGTCCCAAATGTGACAGATATACAGTGCCACAGACCACAAGGGTCCTTTGAAAAGAGAGTAATTTATGCAAATACTACTATATAATACTGCAGATTGAGGACTTCATGTGGATATACGATGAAGGCATACATAGGCTGCTTTTAAACAGGCAGCCCAATTCTGATCTTTTCTGATCTCAAAAGACCAATTAGTGGAGAAAATATCAGAATTGGGCTGCCTGTGTAAACGCAGCCGTAGTGCGTTTTTCATATTTGGACAATATGGAAATTGTTCATTCAAAATTCAGGATAGAGTCCAGGGCCTTGGCTTGCAAGGCTACAGTATGTGATGCATAGCAGACAGTTCAGACAGAGACAGAACGGGATACATTGAGATTGACAGACCTGACGGAAGAGTTTAAAGAAGTCCACGTTGGCGTAGAGCCTGTCCTCTATAGTCTGTAGTCTCTGTGGTGTGAGGACACAAATGGCGCTGTGCACCCTGTACAGCCCCCTGCGGCTGGGGAAGATGATGAAGCGCTCCAGCAGGGTCTGACTGCAGGCAATGTCCTTCAGGTGGAGGTCAGGGACGCCAAACACAAACTGAAGGGCAGAGGTCAAGGGTCAGAGTATGATGTCACAGAGGGAGGGTGTTTGTAACATTGAGCAAAAGTCCTCGGTGGAGAGAAGGCCTCTTTTTCAGGACATAGTAAGCCAATATACATGCACTCATGCGCACACACATGCGCACACACATGCGCACACACACACACACACACACACCACACACACACACCACACACACCACACACACACCACACAGCCTTTAGCCAGTCCCATTTAATTTTGGGTTCTGTATTCCTTTCTTTGTGTATGTGTTTTCTGTGTGAACAAAGACCTAGTGATGATTCACCCCCACTGCATAGCCCTTTGATCCAGGGCTGGTGTTGTCGCTCACTGGGGGAAGAAAGAGCTCCCTTTGGGGGAAGAGAAGGTATGCAGGAGCCACTGGCCACCAGACAAAGCCCACAGCACAACCCGGTGTAATGACATCAGTATCCCAATAGCCCTCTTGACCACAGCTTTCAAATGGAGATCCTGTCCTGAGCTTTCATTGAAACACACTGTCTTTCTCAGGGTTGCGATTCAGCCAGCACTGTTGGCTAATTCAGCCAGCGCGGCTAGCCCCCAGGAAAATGTGCTGGCTGGATAAATCCTTAGCTAATAATCAGATGGGAAACTCAGGGTGATGGAGTGTATGTTACAGCTGTCTAAGTGGGACAGGACAGAACACACAGTAGGTCCACTAAGGTGTAGTCTCACCTGCTCAGGCCTGATCTTGGCATTGACCAGCTCAATGACCACATCCTCTGACAGAGGAACACCTTGGGAGGACGTAAGGGTTTTACTTCCCCCCCCTTGCCCCCCCCCCGGGAAAAAGCAAAAAGGGAGGGTTTTTTTACAGTTTAAGGGGGGGAAAAAAAAAAACCCCCCTTTACCAAATTTAAATTTCGGGGTTTGGGGTTCTTGAACCCCCCGGGTTTTTGGAAAACCGGTTTTTTTTAAAAAATTTTTTAAAAAAGGGGGGGGAAAAAAAAAAGGGGGGGGGAAAAAAAAAAATTTTGGAAAAAAAAAAAAGGGGGGAAAAAAAAGGGGGGGAAAATTTAAAAAGGGGAAAAAAAAAAAAAAAAAAAAGGGGAAAAATTAAAAAATTAAAAAAAAAAATTTTTCCCCATTTTTTTTTTTTTTTTGGGGGGGTTTTTCCCCCCTTTTCCCCCCCGGTTGGGGTTTTTTTCCCCCCCCCCCCCCCCAAAATTCCCCCGGGGGGGGCCCGAAAAACCCCCCCCCCCCTTTTTTTTTTTTCCCCCCCCTTTTTTTTTCCTTTTTCCCCCCCCCCCCCCCTTTTTTTTTTTTCCCCCCTTTTCCCCTTTTTTCCCCCCTCCCCCCCCCTTTTTTCCCCCCCTTTCCTCCCCCCCCCCCCCCCCCACCCCCTTCCCCCCCCCCCCCTTTTTTTTTCCTTTTTCCCCTTTTTCCCTTTTTTTTTTCCCCCCCTTTTCCCCTTTTTTTTCCCCCCCTTTTTTTTTTTCCCCCCCCCTTTTTTCCCCCCTTTTTTTTCCCCCTTTTGGGGGGGGGGGGGGCCCCCCCCCCCTCCCCCCCCCCCCCCCTTTTCCCCCTTTTTTCCCCCCTTTCCCCTTTCCCCCTTTCCCCCCCCCTTTTTTTCCCCCCCCCCCTTTTCCCCCCTTTACCCTTTTTCTTTTTTTTTTCCCCCTTTTCCCTTTCCCCCCTTTTCCCCCCCCCTTTTTTCCCTTTTTTTCCCCCCCCCCTTTTTTTTTTTTTTTTTGGGGCCCCCCCCCCTTTTTCCCCCCCCCCCCCCCCCCCCTTTTTTTCCCCCCCCCCCCTTTTCCCCCCCTTTTTTTCCCCCCCCCCCCCCCCCCCTCCCCCCCCCCCCTTTTTTTTTTTTTCCCCCCCCCCCAAACCCCCCCGGGGGGGGGCCCCCCCCCCCCCCGGGGGGCCCCCCCCCCCCCCTCCCCCCCCCTCCCCCCCCCCCCTCCCCTCCTTCCCCCTCTCCCCTCTCTCCCCCCCTTTTCTCCCCCTTTCTCTCTTTTTTCTCCCCCCTTTTCCCCCCCCCCCCCCCCCCCTTTTTTTTCCCCCCCCCAAAAAGGGCCCCCCCCCCTCTTTTCCTCCCTCTCTTTTCCCCCCCCTTTCCCCCCTTTCTCTCCCCTCTCCCCCCCCCCCCCCCCTTTTTTTTTCCCCCCCCTTTCCCCCCCCCCCCCCCCCCCCCCCCCCCCTTTTCCCCCCCCCCCCCCCCCCCCCCCCTCTCTTCTCTCCCCCCCCCCCTTTTTTTTTTTTTTTTTTCCCCCCCCCCCCCCCCTTTTTCCCCCCCCCCTCCCCTCTCCTCTCCCCTTCCCTCCCCCCCCCCTTTTTCCTCCCCCTCTCTCTCCCTCGCCCCCTCCCCCCCCCCCCCCCCCCCCTTTTTTCCCCCCCCCCCTTTTTCCCGGCTCCCCCCCCCCCCCCTTTTTTTTCCCCCCCCCGCCCCCCCCTTTTCCCCCCCCCCCCCCCCCCCCTTTTTTTCCCCCTTTTTCCCTCTCCCTCTCTCTCTTTTTCCCCCCCCCCCCCCCCCCCCCTCCTCCCCCCCCCGGCCCCCCCTCTCCCCCCCCCCCCCCCCTTTTTTTTTTCCCCCCCCCTTTTTTTTTCCCTTTTTTTTTCCCCCTCCCCCTTTTTTTCCCCTCTCTCTCTCCCCCCCCCTTTTTTTTTTTCCCCCCCCTTTTTTTTTCCCCCCCTTTTCCCCCCCCCCCCCCCCCTTTTTTTCCCCCCCCCCCTTTTTTTTCCCTTTTTTTTTTTCCCCCCCCTTTTTTTTTTTTTTTTTTCCCCCCCCTTTTTTTTCCCCCCCCCCCCCTTTTTTTTTTTTTCCCCCCCCCCTTTTTACCCTTTTTTTTTTGGGGGGGGAAAAAAAAAAATTTTGGGGGGCCCAAAAAAAAGGGGGGAAAAAACCCCCCCCAAAAAAAAATTTTTTTTTAAAAAAACCTTTTTTTTTTAAAAAAAAAAAGGGGAAAATTTAAAAATTTTTTTTTTTTCCCAAAAAATTTTAAAAAAATTTTTAAAAAAGGGGGGGCCCTTTTTTTTTGGGGTTTTTTTTTTTTTTTTTTAAATTTTTTTTGGGGGAAAAAAAGTTTTTTTTTTTTTTTTAAAATTTTTTTTTTTTTTTCCCCCCCTTTCCCCCAAAACTTTTTTTGGGGGTTTTTTGGTTTTTCCAAAAAATTTTTTTAAAAAAATTTTAAAAAAAACCCTTTTTAAAAAAATTTTTTTTTTTTAAAAAAAATTTTTTTTTTTTTAAATTTTTTTTTTAATTTTTTTTTAAAAACCTTTTTTTTTTTTTTTTTTCCCTTTGAAAAAAATTTTTCCCCATGCCAATAAAAAAAACAAAAAGGGAAAATTGGAGGGGAAAAAAAAGGGGGAAAAAAGGGGGGGGGGGGGGGGGGGGGGGGGGCCCCCCCCCCCCCCCCCCCTTTTCCCCCCAAAAAAAAAAGGGGGGGGCCCGGGGTTTCCCTTTTAAAAAATTTTTTAAAAAATTTTTTGGAAAAACCCCTTTTTTTTTTAAAAAAAAAAAAATTTTAAAAGGGGGGTTTTTTGGGGGGGCCCCGGAACCCCAAAGGCCAAAAATAAGGGAAATTAATTCCATTTTAAAAAAATTTTGGGGAAGGGGGAACCCCCCCCAAAATTAAATTTTTTTTGGGGGGGGGGGGGGGGGGAAAAAAGGAAAAAAATTTTTAAAGGGGTTTTTTTTTTTAAAAAAGGGCCCCCCTTTTCCCCCCCCTTTTTTTTAAAATTTTAAAGGGGGGGCCCGGGGGTTTTTCCCGGGGGTTTTTTTAAAAACCCCCTTAAAAAAAAAAAAAAACCCCCCCCCCTTTTTTTTTTAAAAAAAAACCCCCCCCTTTTTTTAAAATTTTTTTCCCCCCCCTTTTTTTTCCCCCCCCCAAACCCCCAAAACCCCCCCCCGGTTTTTTTCCCCTTTTTCCTTTTTTTTTCCCCCCCCCCCCCTTTTCCCCATTTTTTCCCCCCCTTTTTTCTTGGTAAAAAAAACCCCCCCCCCCAAACCCCCCCCCAAAATTTTCAAAAACCCCAAACCCCCTTTTCCCCCCTTTTCCCCTTTTTTAAAAAAAATTGCAAAAATCTTGAAAACTGGAGACCTTTATCTTCCTCACTAACTTTAAGCATCAGTTGTCAGAGCACCTTACCGATCACTGCACCTGTACACAGCCCATCTGAAATTAGCCCACCCAACTACCTCATCCCCATATTGTTATTTATTTTGCTCATTTGCACCCTAGTATCTCTATTTGCACATTATCTCTTGCACATCTATCATTCCAGTGTTAATACTAATTGTAATTATTTTGCACTATAGCCTATTTATTGCCTTACCTCCATAACTTGCTACATTTGCACACACTGTATATATATTTTCTGTTGTATTTTTGACTTTATGTTTTGTTTTTACCCCATATGTAACTCTGTGTTGTTGTTTTTATCGCACTGCTATGCTTTATCTTGGCCAGGTCGCAGTTGTAAATGAGAACTTGTTCTCAACTGGCTTACCTGGTTAAATAAAGGTGAAATAAAAAGAAATAAAAAATAATCTATCACTAACTGGTATGCAGTCTCATTCTACACTCTTAGAAAAAAGGGTTCCAAAAGGGCTCCCCATAGGATAACCATTTTTGGTTCCAGGTAGAACCCTTTTGGGTTCCATGTAGAACCCTCTGTAGAAAGGGATCCAAAAGGGTTCTACCTGCAACCAAAAAGGGTTCTTCAAAGGGTTCTCCTATGGGGACAGCCGAAGAACCCTTTACTAAGAGTGTAGCTAGTAGATCCATCATAAAGGGCTATTATTCCAGCAGAGTAGCATTTGTAGTTGTCAGATCAGATTGAGAATGTAGAAGCGATCATTAGTATGGGAATGTTAGCATTGGCTCCCAGATATAACCATGTTTATGTGTTCTGTTGGGAAGGGAAACACATGAATTGCTTTCTCACAAAATAAACAGTGCTGCTGCTTAGGATCCTAGTTCCCACTACGGGGAAGTGCCTTTCTTAAAAGCTAAGTGATGTAATCCTGCCCACCTCCAGTCTACACATGACACAGAGCTGGAGAAGAGGAATGGAAGAGATGGGATGTGTTGGGTTCATTTGTTTGTTTGGTGAAGATGGGATACAATTGCCCCGGACTGCTTTTGGACCAGATGATTGTATAAAACATGATCAATCACTCTCATACCACAAAGAAAATACACATTATTTGGTGAGGACTGCACACTGCTGTGTGAGTGTTTTCATTTCCGGTTTATAATGTCTAGGTTTAGAAAAATAGTTGGCTAGTATTTCAATAACAAATAATCAAATACACATGTATTTGAACCCAGGTCTGTCCTAGATATGTACTTATGAACCATAGCTTTTAAGTTGATGGCTGTTCCTCTGACCTGAGACCTGTTCTGGGTTGGTCCGCAGGGTGTCCATGAAGGTGCTCATGGTGAACAGTTCCCTCCAGAGCCGACCAAGCTGCAGGAACTCTGGGTCACTCAGCAGAAGCTCCTGGGTGTCCAAGTAGAACCGAGCCAGTCTGCATGGGGAGCAGAGCAGAGGATGGGTTACACACACACATAGACTGGAACACACACACACAGACATAAACACCAACACAGATATACAAATACACACACAGATAGGTAAACACATTCATTCAAGCAACCCATTCACACAGACATAAGAACCCTGAACCTCATTGGCATGAGTGCAGAGCCTTGCCAAGTGCCTTCAGCGAGAACATCCTGTATTATAACAACACCCTCCTTTCATCTGCCATCAAATGGTACATCAGCATGTAGTACTGCTGCTCAACCCTCTTCTATCTGGCTGGCCCACCATCACAAACAGCCCTAGACTATGACCATAGGAGTTGGCTTGACAGCACCAACAGATCTGGGACCAGCTATCACAGCCCTGCTCCTCTGCTCACATGGAATCGTTGTAGTTGGAGACGAGTCCGAGTCCCTCTCCCCTGGTAGCGTACTGGAAGCATGGGTTGTTGGCGTTGCAGAAGATTCCCTGGATCCATGGAAGGATGCCAGTCGAGGGCATGGCCTTGTTGGGAAAGTGACCTATACAACAGTGGACAGGACAGGACAGATGGCACTGGTCAATAGCAAAGACTGGAACAGTTGACAGAGCTCTGATCATCATGTATAGACTGGAATAACTCTAGTCACAAAATTGATTATTTTGACTAGAAAAGATTTGTAAACATACTGAATATATTTTGTACATCAGAGCTGACCATTTGCTGGTTTGCAGGGTTGTATTGTTAGTGCATATATTGCTGAACTGTTGGTAACACCAGTGTTTACATTGTCAGAAGAACATGTTCTTACACTCATGTTGGCGATATAAAGGGTTAGCACTTCTCAGCCACACTAGTCCAATGAACAGAACCACTGGCCACATTATCTCCATGAAGAACCGGATCTGGGAGGAAAACAACAAAACAATATACTCTACACATTGGAAGGCAGGTGTTCATTTTGAATTAAGCTGAAAAACATCTATCAATATTAGAGTAACAGAAGTGAGTGTGGGGTGAGAGTTGATTTGTATGCGTAAATTAGTTTGAGGTTATGCATAAATTAAGGAGTGTGGCTTTAGTTTGTTAATGAAGCATAAAGGGATCTGAATGTCCACAACAAAAAGTTGACTCCCGTCGTTTGGCTTGTGTGTGTGTTTGTCCAAATCGTGCCAAGCTTCAATAGTTTACAGTATGCAGTTGGCACGATGTGAGATGTGACCATGGGTGACTGAGCCAAACACAGCGATCTAAACACGGCAGGCTGGGATGCTAAGCTAAGCAGGGCTCCAAACTTGTGCAACAACTTCCTGTCACCCAGCAGCCAGAGGCATCATCCTCATGTGATTGTCCTCTCACAACCTTTAGGCTACTACCATGATGACAGGTCTGAGACACTATCCAGAACAAGTCAATAACAGGGTGGATCTATTTTGTATTTAGATCATATGGCATACTCAATATGTAGATTTTAAATCCTACATTTCTGTTCTGTTTTAGTACGGTGGCCCTAAGGGGCAAAGTAGCTTTTAGAATTCAGTGACACACAAAGCAAGTGCTTGCAAATAATTTCACAGAAGGTGATGGAACTGCCTTCAAAATTAAAGATGAGTTAGATTGAGAAAGACAATCATCAGAAGTGTGTTTGTTTTACCTTCTGTCTCTTGCGAAGGGTCCAGTTCTTCCACAGCAGCAATCGGACTTGACTGCCCGTACCCATGATCCTCCTCTTCACCCCTCGTAGGGGTCACCACCAGGGCACAGACCTGGAAACAACCATCACACAACCATCATAAAACCACCTCACAACCATGCCACAACCACCAAACAACCATCACACAACCACCTCACAACCATGACAACCATACCTCATCCACCTCCAAACCACCTCACAATGTTGACATAATTAACACATTTCCAAATCCTTAAACAATCTGTTTCTCACTAAATACCATACAGATAGAGCGGTTCCAGTTTCTTTTGATTCTAGGACCACAGAACAGGAAGTAATCCTTCTATGCGCTGAGAAGAATGCTAGGCTGCTCCTGGTTCCAGGGTGTTTTGATACTGATTGAAGTAGGCAAGTGTTTCACATGGTGAGCAAGGGTGGGAAGGGCAAAGCCCCTTTCTAGGTCATGCCAATCAGTATATAACAATAGTAGCATGAGGGAGGGTAGAACAACTCTCATTGGCTGAGCTGTTTATGTCATGTGATGTGATGACATAATAATGCACACATAATGGTCACTACTCCCAGTGGACTGACTGCTTGCAGAATGGATTACTGTAATAATATAACAATTCAGTCTTTTGAAAATGTGATTGATAAAATGAATGGTGATGTTCTGTCACGCTTGACTATGTACTACCTCTAGTTGTCAGATATCTCAAATAAATTGTACATAGTCTGGTCTAATAAACATGTATGACATTTTGTCAAACATCATCCAGAGCACCCTGCTGGTTAGGCTACATGAAAATGTACTACTTGTAGTTACATTTACTGGTAGTACTACTAGTAGTTACATTTATTGGTAGTACTACTAGTAGTTACATTTATTGGTAGTACTACTAGTACATTTTACATTTACATTTTAGTCATTTAGCAGATGCTCTAAAAATCCACAGCGATTTACAGGAGCAATTAGGGTTAAGTGCCTCACTCAAGGGCACATCTGCAGATTTTTCACCTAGTTGGCTCGGGGATTCTAACCAGCGATCTTTCGGTTACTGGCCCAACGCTCTGAATCGATAGGCTACCTGCCGCCCAGTAGTAGTTACATTGCAATATGTTGGGCACAATGTCAAATCCTCAACCGGTGTTGTATCAATATGTGTTCCCCTCTTCTGACTTTGATATACCAAATGTGTTTGTTAAATGTTACATGTTTGCATGCTGTTAGCAACAAGGTTTAGATGTTGACAATAGGATTTTGTTGCTTTAAGAATTCCAGGAGCATACAGATTATGCAACAGTGTAGCCTACAACCACAACACAGACTGTCCTAGCTAACATAGTTATTACACATGAATGAACAGACTAGTAACACAACTATATAGGACACCTCAAAAACATGAAAGACCACTTACTTCAGAAGAAGAATATAACCGTGGAGTACTATCTACTGAGTATAAAGTCACACAGGACGTTGTGTTGTGTGTCCCATGTCTGGTGCTAACAGCTAACCACGCAGTTCCTTTAGTTCCTACAGACCCAGCGAATAGTTAATCTGATTGGTTTAATCTGCTTTCTCAACGCCTCAGAGCCTGCTAACACCACTCATCCATTTTCACAGAGACCTGAATGACCTGACAACCACCCGAGAAAAAGAGGGAACATTTTATTGAACGTTATGGGAAAAACAATTGGGTCTACATGTTATGGTTTCTTCCTCTTACTCTCCATTTATTCACATCAACTTTACTGGGAATTTACCTAGGCTCCAAAATGTGTGGGGTCTAACTGGTACCCATTCAGTAAGGCCTTCAAGTTGTGTTGGCAGTCAGTCTCTAAGGGGTCAATAGTGAGTATTCCTACTAGCGAAGGGTCATGTCCACAAATCTCTGTGGCTGTAGGCTACGGTAAGTCTCTGTTGAAGGAACTCTAGCTACATCAGTTAGTAGGGCAACTTTAATCCTACTATGTCAACCTACATTGTGCTATGAATCATTGATATAATTCATAAAATGACCTATAGTTTACAGCAGGGTTCTTCAATTCCAGTCCTGGAGGGCCGAAACACTTCTGTTTTTTATTTCTACCTGGTAGTTAATTGCACTCACCTTGTGTCCCTGGTCTGAATTAGCCCCTGATTAGAAGGAGAGGATGAAAAACAGAGGTGTTTCGGCCCTCCAGGACCGGAATTGAAGAACCCTGGTTTATAGTGTGTTCCACAAGCACCAGCTGCCAGCCAAATAGCTGACTACTAACCCTTATGTAGCCAGCTACTTAATTGACTTTAAAACATTTGCGGGGGAGCATGCCCCATCACCCCTAGCTTCAGAATTTCAGTAACACTTTGAGATTATTATTCTATCCATAGTCCACATTTCCATTATCTTGTTTATCAACAACCTATACTGTAGGTGTGGGAATACAAAAGATTACAGAAACATGTTTGGAAGTTGTCAACTATATTTTAATAAGTTACAAAAAGGTGTATGTTCGTATGTACCTGTTTGTACAATGAAAGGGATTTAATACATTGGAGACAATCTGCAAATACCCTTATAGATAATATTTATAAAATATAGACGGATATATCATGTACATGAATTATGCAGTTACTGGTACTTGTAACCGGTACAAAGTGAGAGTATAATTGATATGAATAAAATATCTGGTCAGCACTGACTGAACTGAATAAAATTTTAAAAAAGAGAACAGCTTTGGCCCATCGTAATATTGTGATAGACTTCTTACAACAGGCCAGACCACTACCTGACTGACCTGTAATAATATTATTAAATGCTTTTCAGTTGAGTTGTTAGGTTGTTACCTTCCAGGTAAACATATAAAAGGGGAAGGTTGATGTTTGGTTGAAGTGTGGGTTTGTAGCACATCTCCATTGACTTACATACAGACACTTTCCATTTACAAGTGTCAATCAAGTCAAAGACAAAGAAGAGTTACTCATCCACATTAAACGAGCAACACATGCAGTTTAAGGTTTGATAAAGCATCATGTACAATTATACATTGTAACTTTTCAAATGACTGTATACAAAAGTAATACTGTGTACAAAATACTGCATTACAAAAAGTAGAAATGTGTAATGCATAAAATAACTGTGAAAGACTGGATTAAATAAGTGCGTCAAACTCATGTTTTATAAAGTGGCAATACACACTATACTGTAACAGTTTGTTGAAATAATATTTTTTGGCGTATAAACATACAAATACAGTGTACCAAAACTTTATACAACAGATACAGTATGATATTTCTTTAATAAAAAGTAATTGCACAGTTTAAAAAAGAGAAAAACATGCTATCCTGGCATTACTTTGTATTGAGCCATATGTTAAAAATACTGTACATATAAATCTACAATAATGGATTTAACTTTTGGGAAATTAACTATTTCTTTAACATTTGTAGTGATTGGTACTGGAAGCATGTTTTGATTATGTGGCTTTCTTTATACAGACCTTTTACAGAAAAACCTAGAATAGGTGAAGTAACTTATAATACACCCATTGTTGTGTAGCTAACTAAGTGCATCCTGTCTTCATTTTGGGGACCTGCAGTACAACAGTTCCTTCCAGCACCAACTGCGGAACTCCAAAACAGATAACAAGGAATATATTAATATATATAACACTTCCGTGGGTAATTTGTTTCACAGGTCATGAAATTATTTTAAGTGTTGTTGTTTTTTTTTCTTCTACAATATGGCACATATACAGATTTGACCATTTAAATCCAAATCATAGAAGGAAAATGGCTCTTCATTAATTCTAATGGCGACCAGTGAATGATAGCGATAAATATGTCATACAAAATGGGCCTCACGGTGCTCAAACTCCTGCAAGCGTCTGGGCCGTAGTCTCTGGTACACGGGCTTGGCCTCCTCACTGAGGTCCTCAGGGCTGGAGGTGGGGGATTGGGGCAGAGACAGAGAGGAGCCTGCAGCCTGCTGCGGACCCTCAGTGTCCTCATCCACATTGTCTTCATCCACAGAGGGCTCATCTACAGAGACCTCCAGACCCATCTCATCTTCCTCATCTTCCTCATCATCATCGTCCTCCTCTTCTTCCTCCTCTGCGCTGTTAGCTGCCTCGACACGCTTCTCTAGCACTTTGGCCTTGATCCCCGAGGGGGGTTTGTAGAAGGTTCCAGGGGGTGGCTGTAGAGTCCGGGGGGGCCTGAACGCAGTGGGCACAGGGCTGTACTCGCACACGTTCTCCTCCCTTTTCAGAGTCCTGCCCGGCCTCACTGCAATGGTGTAGGGTCTGTTGGGGTAGATGGTGCTTGTGGAAGAGGATGATGGTACAGACGTGGAGAGGCTGCTGGTCGAGTCCTCCACCTCCTTGTCTGCTGTAGGCAGGTTGGTAATGATCTTAGCTGTCCTGGGGGTGATGTCATAATGCTTGTACTGTCTGTCCCAGGTCCTACGTAACGTCCCTGTGTCGATGAACGTGCTCCGGTAGTGGCTGCTCGCCCTCGACTTTGGCTTCTCGTCCTCCGACACCTCCTCAATCGCAATGTTCCCGGCGCTCCCGGTAACGTCCTCGGTGTCCAGGTCAGCGGTGTTCCTGGCATTCCTCTCGTCCACGCCGTGGGCGGGGTTCAGGAGGCGTTCAGCAGGCATGCTCATGGGCCGGGAGACAAGCTTGGAGCGGGGGTGGCGGAGGTGGACCCGGGAAGTGGTGTGGCGGGCCCGGGTCAGACCCCTTTCCCCCCTCTCCCTCTCTCCTCCTGCTCTCTGGACCTCAGGGACGCTGCCAGACAGGAGCCCGTTGAGTTGCTCTGAGTCCTCGTCCACTACTACAGAGTAAATAGAGGACACGTCAGTTATAAAATAGCAGGGAGTGATACGGTAAAGTAGGCTATAGTATACAGTGTGTCCAGCTTTGGTTTAGTAATACTGACCAGGTGCATAGTCCCTCCCATCAGGCCTGGGTTTCCCCTCTCTGACCTCGTCCATTAAATGGGTGGAGGGGATTATGGAGGAATGACGCTTATACACTTTAGAGCTCTGCTGCAATGGACAGAGGACAGGAAACAGATGGACAGAGAGGGAAAAACACAATGGAAGAGAGAGAGAGAGAGAGAGAGAAGATAGAGAGAGAGGAAGAGAGAGAGAGAGAGCAGAGAAGCGCATGAGATAGATATACAGTAGAGATACGTATACTACGAAGATCAGTTAGCATCTCCTCTCTGTAGCTCGCTAAGTATGCGATCAGCGATGAGAGCGATAAAAGTCAGTATCACTACTGTTTCAGTCAGTAGTAGTAGCTAGATCTGTAACATACGGATTGTGAGGTACACTACATGGCCAAAAGTATAAGGACAACCCTTCAAATTAGTGGATTTGGCTATTTCAGCCATACCCTTTGCTGACAAGTGTATAACATTGAGCACACAGTCATGCAATCTCCACAGACAAACAGTAGAATGGCCTTACTGAAGAGCTCTGTGACTTTCAACGTGGCACCGTCATATGATACCACCTTTCCAACAAGTCAGTTTGTCAAAGCTGCCCTGGTCAACTGTAAGTGCCTGTTGTGAAGTGGAAAAGTCTAGGAGCAACAACGGCTCAGCCACAAAGTGGTAGGCCACACAAGCTCACAGAACGGGACCACTGAGTGCTGAAGCACGTAAAAATAATCTGTCCTCGGTTGCAACACTCACTACCGAGTTCCAAACTGCCTCTGGAAGCAACGTCAGCACAATAACTGTTTGTCGGGAGCTTCATGAAATGGGTTTCCATGGCCGAGAAGCCACACACAAGCCTAAGATCACCATGCGCAATGCCAAGCGTCGGCTGGAGTGGTGTAAAGCTCGCCGCCATCGGACTCTGGAGCAATGGAAATTAATTATCTGGAGTGATGATTCACGCTTCACCATCTGGCAGTCCGACGAACGAATCTGGGTTTGGCGGATGCCAGGAGAACGCTACCTGCCCCAATGCATAGTGCCAACTGTAAAGTTTGGTGGAGGGGGAATAATGGTCTAGGGCTGTTTTTCATGGTTTGGGCTAGGCCCCTTAATTCTAATGAAGGGAAATCTTAACGCTACAGCATACAGTGACATTCTAGACGATTCTGTGCTTCCAACTTTGTGGCAACCTGTTTCAGCATGACAATGTCCCCTTGCACAAAGCGAGGTCCATACAGAAATGGTTTGTCGAGATCGGTGTGGAAGAACTTGACTGGCCTGCACAGAGCCCTAACCTCAACCCCACCTTTGGGATGAATTGAAACACCGACTGCGAGCCAGGCCTAATCGGCCAACATCAGTGCCCGACCTCACTAATGCTCTTGTGGCTGAATGGAAGCAAGTCCCCGCAGCAATGTTCCAACATCTAGTGGAAAGCCTTCCCAGAAGAGTGGAGGCTGTTATAGCAGCAAAGCGTGGACCAACTCCATATTAATGCCCATGATTTTGGAATGTTCGACGAGCAGGTGTCCATATACTTTTGGCCATAGTGTATTATAGTCAGTGTTGAGGTTAATCATATTTCTATTGACTTCTATTTTAATATGGGATCAGACAAGTCACTCACCTCCTTAACATCTACCAGAGACTTGGAGTGTCTGCTGAGAAGCTGCTCCTTCTCCTGAGGGGTGAGGCGGGGATTAGAGTCCTGACCCTTCAGAGGAGAGCCCTCCCCAGAGGGGCCTGGTGGGCCCTGGGGCCGTGGCAGGGGGCTAAGGGGGGCATCAAAGATCATCTGGTAGTGTCTGATGAGGAGCTCCACAATGAGGGCCTGGTAGGGGTAGTCCACCAGGGAGGACAGGGACACCTCGGCGTCTGTCTGTCTGGGTTTGATGAGCGTGGGGCCGAAGATGATACCCAGGTTACTGGCTGTCATCTTGTTCTCCTCCGCCTGCTCGGTCACCCTACAGGGGTGAGGAAGGATGAAATATGAAGGTGGACTTCTGGTTCATTGTTACTGCTGTTGCAGTTTTTGTTGTTACTTTGTGGGACTTGTGTGTTTTAAGTTGTGTATGTGTATTTACAGGGTTGTTTTCGGACTTGAGATCCGCTGACTTAACTCAAAGTGTCCCATTGACATCAATAAATTATTTAGGTGAAAGTGAGAGTTGTGAGCGCTTGTCAACTCATCTATATTCTCTGAATAGATTCCGTACCTGTGCAGGTGTTGGATGAGGAACTGCAGGGTCTTGTAGTGGGCCGTTGGCAGCTGTCTCAGAAGGTCTTTGATCTTGAAGAGGACCCGGTTGAGCTCCACGCTGACCTGCGGCGGGGTCAGGGAGACGGGGCTGACCCTGGACGCCTCCACCTCGTCCACAATGATGTTCTGGCTCTCCTTGGCCAGGCCGATGAAGTCGTTGTAAAAACGGAACAGGATGAGAGGCTCTGGAAGCTACAGGGAGAGAAAATAAACATGGAAGTTAATTTTAAACTGGAATAACAAAAATATGAAGACAAATATACAACAGACAGGACTGGAGACAAAGAAAGAAGCATTTGGGAATATAAACTAGCAATGAATGAAGAGAAGGAAGATAGGTAAATATTATTGGGCTAGCGTGCAGTCTGTCTGACGTACTCTGTAACCAGCAACTATCTTATCCTGAAGGATTCTGTGTGTATGTGTGTGAGACCCACCTGTCTCAGGTAAAGTTTGAGCACGTTGCTGATGTCATGAGGGTAAAGGTCAGATAGCTCCACTAGGTCCTTGCCGTTCTCAAACGCCTGACAGAGCTTCTCCACACGAGACTTGGCCCCGTTCACACGGTAGATCCCCTGGAAAACCAAGACACAACACAGCAGCCCATTTTATTATCCTAAAAAACATTATTTAGCTGCAAAAAAGAGAAATATTCAATTTTTTTAAAACAGGGGTGGATGACGTCTGAAACAATAGAGAATATTTGCCAAACAAGCATGCACTATAGCTAGGCTACATAATCTTACTTTAAAAAGCTAGCATAATGTTACCTTGATGTCCAGTGCTCTATTCTCTATCTCTGAGGTACACTTCCTGATGATGAAAGGGATTCCATCTGGGTTGTTCCTAGCTGCCTGGGTGAAGTCAATACCAAAGAGGTGCAGTCTACCCTGGAGTTTCTTATGACCACATTGGATGGCCAGAGTCTCCAAACACTTCTTATGGCAGGCCAGGGAGCACTGGGAAACAGCAGAGGAGTCAAATAGTGAATATCCATGTCAGCTAGCAATAATACTGTATATATATATGCCACTTAGCAGATGCTTTTATCCAAAGTGACTTACAGTACAGTGAGTGCATATATTTTAGTAAGTGTATGTGATCCCTGTGGGAATTGAACCCACGACCTTGACGTTGCTAGCACCCCACTCTCACAGAGCCACACATGACCACAGTGTTACATAATCGGCTAAATAACCATTCCCCTCAAGTAACCATCTTTCACTGTCCTGTTCCAATGTATCCAAATATGAAGGTTTCCATAAATATGTAATGTAACTCTATCTAAAATAAGCAGAGCTGAGAGAACATTCTAACAAGAGGATAGTACAGGCTCCAAGAGGGTAACAAAAGGTATTTGGTTTCCGCTGCATGTCCCCTTTCAATGAGTCCAAATACCTAGTGCTGGATGATGGAGAGGTCACTCTAAATGACAACTGATGGTCTGTGGACTCTCATGCAGCCCCTGTGTGGCTACTTGTGATCAACAGTCTCTTTCCTATTGGGGCTAATAGACCAGTATGTCTTATTTGGTTACTTACTGTACCCAAAATCACATTTTGCTCTACCTGAAGTACCCCTTCATGTTCAACTGATCATTAGGCCTATGGTCTTCTGAGTCTTTCCAATTCCCCCCTGTGGATAGGCCAGGTACTTCCAGGGGTAGAGCACCCCAGATTGAAAACCACTGTCCTCACCTCCTCACACTCAGCCCCATGGAAGACCACCAGACTATCACACTCTCTGCACTTGGACAGGGCCCTCAGCTTCCTCAGCTTGTGTGTCTGGGCTGCCTTCGACATCTGGGTGTTACGGAACGGACCTGGGGAACTGGCTGTCTCTATCACCATCTCACTTAGACCTAGGGGAACGTATGAGAGAGAGGAGAGAAATCGGGCGGAGAGTATAGAAGAGCAAGAAGATGCCACAGCTCATCTATGACAAGTGTGTCAGATTTTTAGCACGAGACTACGACGATCTGCTCAGTACTGAGCAGTGAGAGAGGCCGAGAGCTTAGCGTCTAGCAGCATCGCGACCGCGCCGAGCTACTAGGCTCTCCGCTCTCCTCCTCCCTCTCTGCTCCTCCTCTCTCGCTCTCCCTCTCTCTGCCCCTCTCTCTCTCCCTCGCTCTCCCCCTCCCTCGTCTCGTCTCTCCCCTCCTCGCTCCCCGTCTCCTCTCCTCGCTCTCCATCGCCTCTCTCTCTCCTCGCTCTCTCTCTCTCTCTCTCCTCGCTCCCCTCTCTCTCTCTCGTCTCGCTCTCCTCTCTCTCTCTTTTTTCTCTCTTTCTCCTTGCTCCTCTCACTCTTTCGCTCGTCTCTCTTCTCTCCCTCTCTCTCTCGCTCTCTCGCCTCTCTCTCTCTCTCTCTCTTCTCCTCGCTCTCTCGCTCTCTCCGAAGAGAGAGAGAGACAGTATCATCTCCATTAACACCATCACTGGTCCAAATGTTGTTTTACTCAGTGAGCGTAATAATAATTAATAATAATAATTTAGGTGGGTGTGTATGCAAAACTCCATTGTTTAGCTGGAATGGAATGTTTGTATACTGTATGTTTGACTGCGATATGTGGTTGTAACACCTAGTTATCTTAAGATTAATACACTAACTGTAAGTCGCTCTGGATATGAGCATCTGCTAAATGACTAAAATGTCAAATGTATAGTGCCTTCAGAAAGTATTCACACCCCTTGACTTTTTCCGCATTTTGTTGTGTTAAAGCCGGAATTTAAATTGAGATTTTGTGTCACTGGCCTACACACAATATCCCATAATGTCAAAGGAGAATGATGTTTCTAGAAATGTTAGCAAATTAATTAAAAATGAAAAGCTGAAATGCCTTCAGTCAATAAGTATTCAACCCCTTTGTTATGGCAAATAAGTTCAGGAGTATAAATTTGCTAAACAAATCACATAAGTTGCACGGACTCACTCTGTGTGCAATAATAGTGATTAACATGATTTTTTAATGACTACCTCATCTCTGTACCCCACACATACAATTATCTGTAAGGTCCCTCAGTCGAGCAGTGAATTTCAAACACAGATTCAACCACAAAGACCAGGGAGGTTTTCCAATGCCTCGCAAAGAAGGGCACCTATTGGTAGATGGGTAAAAATAAATAAAGCAGACATTGAATATCCCTTTGAGCACGGTGAAGCTATTAATTACACTTTGGATGATGTATCAATACAACCAGTCACAACAAAGATACAGGCGTCCTTCCTAACTCAGTTGCCAGAGAGGAAGGAAACCGCTCAGGGATTTCATGAGGCCAATGGTGACTTTGAAACAGTTTAATGGCTGTGATAGGAGAAAACTAAGGATGGATCAGCAACATTTTAGTTACTCTACAATACTAACTAAATGACAGAGTGAAAAGAAGGAAGGAAGCCTGTACAGAATAAAAAATATTCCAAAACATGCAATAAATAAAAACAGCTACAAATGTGGCAAAGAAATGAACTTTATGTCCTGAACACAAAGTGTTATGTTTGAGGCAAATCCAATACAACACATCACTGAGTACCACTCTTCATATTTTGAAGCATGGGTTGGCTGCATCATGGTATGGGTATGCTTGTCATCGGCACGGACTAGGGAGTTTGTTAAGATAAAAAGAAAAGAAATAGAGCTAAGCACAGGCAAAATCCTAGAGGAAAACCTGCTTCAGTCTGCTTTCCAACAGACTCTGGGAGACAAATTCACCTTCCAGCAGTACAATAACTTAAAACACAAGGCCAAATATACACTGGAGCTGCTTACCAAGACAACATTGAATGTTCCTAAGTGGTCTAGTTACAGATTTGACTTAAATCGGTTTGAAAATCTATGGCAAGACTTTAAAATGTTTGTCTAGCAATGCTAAACAACCAACTTGACAGAGCTTGAAGAATGTAAAACATGATCATTGTATAATCCAGGTGCTCTTAGAGACTTAGTTAGCAGACACTCTTATTCAGAGCAGCTTACAGGAGCAATTAGGGTTAAGTGCCTTGTACAAGGGCACATCGACAGATTTATCATCTAGTCGGCTCGGGTATTCAAACCAGCGACCTTTCGGTCACTGGCCCAACACTCTTAACCGCTAGGTTACATGCCGCCACTTACTCAGCAAGACACAGCTGTAATCGTTGCCAAAGGTGATTCTAACATGTTTTGACTCAGGGGTGTGGATACTTATGTACATTTGATATTTCTATATTTCATTTTCATTTTAAAGTTGCACAAAATTCTCAAAACATGTTTTCACTTTGTAATGATGGGGTATTGTGTGTAGATGGGTGAGAACAAAACATTTATTTAATCCATTTTGAATTCAGGCTGTAACACAACAAATGTGGAATAAGTCAATGTGTATGAAAACTTTCTGAAGGCACTGTAAATGTTTTACATACAGATCTCATTACTGTATTGATTAATAGTTTTTATGTTGATTTCACAAATGTATCATTTGCACAGCTCTTTATAAAAAATGTAGTTATTTGTTACATTTGACTGTGTAAAACCTAGTAGTACTAATTATTTATCTGAGAGTGAGGCAGATATATAGAATTTAGCAAAAAAACATGATTATTTGTCTCTCTGAAATGAAACCATCAATGATACATTTCAAACAAATACATGTCTGTCATTAAACAACCCCATGCCATGATTAGATACACACCAATCTTGTTTATAAGATCTTTAAACAATAAAAGCTAATTTACCCAAATATCAGAAAATGTATATATAGCATTTTGGAAAGAAGATCTTCACATGTACAAATGTTATTAATACGCATGTGTGCCATTGGAAATGTGTTTTTTGCATATCCAACTCCCCCTGAGACACCCTCTGAGAGTGAGGTCACGGCCAGGGTCTGCCATTATCAACAGCGACCCTGGAACAATAAGAGTTGAGTGCCTTGCTCAAGGGCACATCGGTAGATTTGTTCACTTTGGAGATTCAAACTAGCAACCTTTACTGGACTAATGCTCTAACCGCTAGGCTACCTTTGTATTGCTGCTGAAGAGATTATTGCTCCAAATGAGACTGTCATAACACATTCTGAACTGTTACAATATACTCTTATGACATTTCAAGCATTACCAACTGTTTTACCACACACACACATCTTCCCTGAACTCAAATCCAAGAGGCTTTATTGACATGGAAAGTGATACCACATACTTTGCCAAAGCAAACATATAGAATCATATCAAATTACTGAACTATCTGACTCACCGTTGTCTGATGGCGAGGGCGGCTCTCTCTCGTCCAGGTCATCAGCTGATGACATGGTTCCCGTGGAGGGGGTTCTGGGTAATCTCCTCTTGAAGTCACCTGAGCAGGAGCCAGTGAACACACAAAATATTCTCATAGTACAATACAACTGTCTAGCTACTCAGTACTACTGTCCACTGTCCACTGTCTAACTGAGGCCTGGTCTAGTAGTAATAGTAATTGTATGCAGTATGCACGCATGACTGTAAGTCGCTTTGGACAAAAGCGTCTGCTAAATGGCATATATTATGTTATTATATCTTATATTTATTAGTAGATCCTTGGTTTTAGGTGGTTATCTCAGAGTGTCTGCTCCTTTCTAGCAATAGCTTCAAGCCTTGCTTGGTATGAACTGAGCGACTGTCAAAGAGTCCAGCTATTATAACACAGGACCCTCCAATGGCAAGAGGTCAGGAGACCAACAGGGGACCACCCACGAGGCATTCTGGGTGATTCATACCTCCATTCAACGATCAATCCCTCTGGTTGATCCCTTATTGTTCTGATAATGGCCTGGACAAGAGGCCAATCTCTTGTGATAGGGCACATTTCCCACATTTCTCCAGACATTGGGGCACTTTGGAAATATAAGAATGAACTGACTGGCTAGATGGCAAACTCTCATTCCAATCGTTCTAGATTCGTATGAGTCCAAAAGTGCTAACGAGTCAGATTGCTTAATCCAGTTAAATTAATTCTAACTAGTCAAATAAAACATCTCACTCTGGAACGCTTGTTTTGTATGATTATAACATGATTGTAACACTATAATTAAGTTGAAGGAAACATACCATAACACTCAATGAAAAACAAACAGACTATTAGATAATAAACAGAAAACAACACCAGAATAACACAAAACTCCAGAAAATGTTACTGTTAAACCTGCTTCACATTCCTGTGTTATTTACACAGCCTGTAGACCACATCCCTCTCTAAGGTATTATAGAGACACCTTCAGGACTCAGGCATGTTCCCACTGTTAGTCTGTCTGTCTCTGTGTCTTGTTATTGTATTTTTCGTTTGTCTCTGTCACGTCAAGGAGGGAGGCTGATATGACATAACAAGAACCATCAATCAATTCCTTTCAACAGGTGATGAAAGCTAAGGCAGACAGGGTGTAGTGCTGGTTGGTGCCAGGTGTTTGAAGGTGGCTGCCAAGCCAATGGATAGAAGGTTGTGTGGAGATATAGCCCTGGGCTAGGAAGGGTATATAGGGTGGAGGAGGGTGGATAGATGGGGCATTACCTGGGCTGGCTGTGGGGGAGTCCATGGATCGGGACTCACTGCTGCCTCCGGCGCTCTCTGAGTCACTGCACATCCCCCCGCCCTGACTACCCGTTCCCCAGGGTCGGAACGGGCCCTGGATCCTCAGAGCTGGAACACACAATAGGAAATACTCATTCTGCATCTGTTACTGTACTCTTCCAACACATTTGCATTTACTGAATCATACATAACCAAAAATAATTTATATTTAGTTATTGAAACATTTTAAACAAAATGAATACACTTGTACCTATTTAGAAATTCAGCTCATTCAAATTCAGTCAAGGAAACAGGGACTAGACTGGCTAATTGCATCCTCATTGATAAAGGCATAATGAGTGGGTTATGTGTGGGATAGAGGACCACATTAATTCAGTATCAAGTGGTTTACATGGAAACACTTGATAATCACAAAAGGAGATCATCATCCCATAGACCTCTGTACACATCAAATGAATACAAACAAAAATTATTTATCATGAATGAGTTGATTATGTAAGCATTCATTTAACATTCAAAACTTGTTTTCTTTTCTCAATGCCTATGAGGACCTGGATATGAAGAAGATAGAGATTACCAAACTGTGATAGCAATTCAACATCTACCACAGATTATGACAGGGGGATGTTTTGCCTACTAAAAAACTATTTGGGGTATAGTCTTAATTTGGCCTGCAGTGAAGTTAGAGATGTGTCTATCAGTGTCATGAGCTGATCTGAAAGAGATGGGATGAGTGTGAGAGTGTATGTGAGAGCGTGTGTGAGAGCGTATGTGAGGGTGTGTGTGAGAGTATGTGTGAGGGTGTGTGTGAGAGTGTGTGTGAGTGTGTGTGGGGGTGTGTGGGAGAGTGTGTGTGAGGGTGTGTGAGAGAGTGTGTGTGAGGGTGTGTGAGAGAGTGTGTGAGGGTGTATGAGAGAGTGTGTGTGAGGGTGTGTGAGAGAGTGTGTGAGGGTGTGTGTGAGAGTGTGTGAGGGTGTATGAGAGAGTGTGTGTGAGGGTGTATGTGAGAGTGTGTGAAAGTGTGTGTGTCCCTGAATGATAGACAGTCAGATGAGGACAGGGCTAATCTGAAAGCACTGGATCAACTTGGAAGCTTCCAGACTCACTCACACCAACACAAGTACAACACACACACACTCTCTCTATCTCTCGCTCACATTATTCCAAGATATGTGTTCATATCTCCCTAATTTACCTCACACCGCTGCACATGGACTTGGTACTGGTATCCTGTGTATATAGCCAAGTTATCATTACTCATTGTGTATTTATTATTATTATGTATTTTTACTTTTCTATTATTTCTCTATTTCTTTTCTCTCTGCATTGTTGGGAAGGGCCCGTAAGAAAACATTTCACTGTACGTTTACACCTGTTGTTTACAAAGCATGTGACAAATACAATTTGATTTTGATTTGATCTCTCTTTGGTGTATGCTTTAAAAGAATAGTGAGTATTTTCATCCCTTCCTCTTGTTGTTTATTAACCTGTATTATAGGATCAGGCCTCACCAGAAACCCTCATGTATTTCTCCGTAAACGACTAGGCTACCACTAGACTACCTTGGATGTCGGCGCTGCTGTTGGACCGTCTCTCAGAGATCTTGGTGGGCCGTGTGTGGACCGGGCTCTCCACCTCGTCGGTCCCCAGGAAGTCCCCAGAGGTGACGGACATCTGAGACAGGTTACCGTGGGAACTGTGGGCACTGCAGTGGGTGCTGCTCAACGACCGCTTAGCGAGGGGCAACCTGGGAGGAGGGGGAGATAGGGAAGAGTTAAGATTAACATTACATCTCACATTATAGGCTTCAAACATAGAGATTATCCAGTGTCTTGTGAGGGTACTGTAATCAATCAACATGAACTCACATGGATGGATCCATAGCCTTTACATACATAATCACCAAATTCAATAGATGAGAAAGGAAATTGATTAATCCCATCAACATCAATATAAACCTTAAATTAACATCCCAATCAACATGACCATTCGCATATGTGGAAATTGATAACGGACTAATGGATCTAAAACCAATGGACACTCCTATAAGGACGTGCATATGGGCAGTCTATAAGATATAGGTCTATAATTAACCCCTGCTTCCCCTCCCTGTCACCCCACTTCTTTGATCAGTGGGCAGGATTGGGAGAAGTAAACAAACCAAGAACAAAGCATCTACGTCTACACTCTGTGTCACTACGTACACCATTACACAAGCAGAGTCTATGACGACCACTCATGAAAATAATTTTTTGTATGAAGTTAAGAAGGGTGCAGTGGGCAAACTTGTGCTTATTTCATATCTGTATACGACTCAACAAAAAAGTTGAACAATTTAGATTGGTGTTTCAGTCATAAGGCATGGCCTGAATAGCATTATGAAAACAGAGTTTTCCCCTTCCCCCTACCCCTTTCTTCACCCCCACCCCCCCTCTCTCTTTCTCTTTCCCATGACCAGTCACTACCTCAGGAAGTCCTGCAGACCAAACTCAATTGTGTTCCCTCTCTAAAACAATCTCTCTCTCTCTCTCTCAATTATTCCATCTGCTAATACAATCCTGCTCTCCCAGTCACTCCTTCTCTCAGCAAATCACTAAATGAGTATCTATGCATAGTCACTTTACCCCTACCTACATGTACAAATTACCTCAACTAACCTGTACCCCCGCACATTGACTCAGTACCGGTACCCCCTGTATATAGCCTCATAAAAATCACTTTAGTTTATTTAGTTAATATTTTCTTAACTACATTTTCTTAAAACTGCATTGTTGGTTAAGGGTTTGTAAGTAAGCATTTCACAGTAAGGTCTACACCTGTTGTATTCGACGCATGTGACAAATAAAAATGTGATTTGATTTGATAAATATAATACTATTCTCCACAAGGCTTTTTCTCTCAAAAGCAGTAACTCTTTCAAAACACAATCTTCCTGCTCTCCCACAGAGAGTAACTCACTCATTTGTTCAGATAATGGCACTCATAGAGATCTCAATCCTAGTTATGATGATGCTTCACACGTTTTTAGGCACACACACACACTCTATTTATGTTTAAGGATCAGAGAGTGAGTTTAAACCGAAGTAGTAGGATAAGCAAAATCACAGCATCCATCCAGTGTTCCCCTCACCCTGCGTTGTTACATTGTGAGACGGTGGCATCGAAGGAGTAGGACTCCACCCTGGGTCTGTCTGACTGGGCAGGAAGACTCCTGACGAAGCCAATGTATCGCTGACCCGGCTCGTACAGCTTGGCGCTCTCACACAGAGACTGGTGGTTGACGGGTAGAGACACAACCTGGGCCTGCTGGAGCTGGAACCAGTTCACTGTCACCTGGGGAGACATACACACAGATAAAGCCCATTAGATACAGCACCCCTAAAATTAGACTGAGTTCTATTTTTATGACAGTATCTACACTAGACAGAATGTCCAAAGATGGCCATAGTAGATAGTACTATATTACTACAGTGAGGGAAAAAAGTATTTGATCCCCTGCTGATTTTGTATGTTTGCCCACTAACAAAGAAATGATCAGTCTATAATTTTAATGATAGGTTTATTTGAACAGTGAGAGACAGAATAACAACAACAAAAATCCAGAAAAACGCATGTCAAAAATGTTATAAATTGATTTGCATTTTAATGAGGGAAATAACTATTTGACCCCTCTGCAAAACATTACTTAGTACTTGGTGGCAAAACCCTTGAGGGCAATCACAGAGGTCAGACGTTTCTTGCAGTTGGCCACCAGGTTTGCACACATCTCAGGAGGGATTTTGTCCCACTCCTCTTTGCAGATCTTCTCCAAGTCATTAAGGTTTCGAGGCTGACGTTTGGCAACTCGAACCTTCAGCTCCCTCCACAGATTTTCTATGGGATTAAGGTCTGGACACTGGCTAGGCCACTCCAGGACCTTAATGTGCTTCTTCTTGAGCCACTCCTTTGTTGCCTTGGCCGTGTGTTTTGGATCATTGTCATGCTGGAATACCCATCCACGACCCATTTTCAATGCCCTGGATGAGGGAAGAAGGTTCTCACCCAAGATTTGACGGTACATGGCCCCGTCCATCGTCCCTTTGATGCGGTAAAGTTGTCCTGTCCCCTTAGCAGAAAAACACCCCCAAAGCATAATGTTTCCACCTCCATGTTTGACGGTGGGGATGGTGTTCTTGGGGTCATAGGCAGCATTCCTCCTCCTCCAAACACGGCGAGTTGAGTTGATGCCAAAGAGCTCGATTTTGGTCTCATCTGACCACAACACTTTCACCCAGTTCTCATCTGAATCATTCAGATGTTCATTGGCAAATTTCAGACTGGCATGTATATGTGCTTTCTTGAGCAGGGGGACCTTGCGGGCGCTGCAGGATTTCAGTCCTTCACGGTGTAGTGTGTTACCAATTGTTTTCTTGGTGAATATGGTCCCAGCTGCCTTGAGATCATTGACAAGATCCTCCCGTGTAGTTCTGGGCTGATTCCTCACCGTTCTCATGATCATTGCAACTCCACGAGGTGAGATCTTGCATGGAGCCCCAGGCAGAGAGAGATTGACAGGTCTTTTGTGTTTCTTCCATTTGCGGTCTTGTAGCCCATTCCAGCCTTGTGTAGGTCTACAATCTTGTCCCTGACATCCTTGGAGAGCTCTTTAGTCTTGGCCATGGTGAAGAGTTTGGAATGTGATTGATTGATTGCTTCTGTGGGCAGGTGTCTTTTATACAGGTAACAAGCTGAGATTAGGAGCACTCCCTTTAAGAGTGTGCTCCTAATCTCAGCTCGTTACCTGTATAAAAGACACCTGGGAGCCAGAAATCTTTCTGATTGAGAGGGGGTCAAATACTTATTTCCCTCATTAAAATGCAAATCAATTTATAAAAATTTTCACATGCGTTTTTTCTGGATTTTTTTGTTGTTATTCTGTCTCTCACTATTCAAATAAACCTACCATAAAAATTATAGACCAGGGGTGTCAAACGTCCGGCCCGCGGGCCGGATCAGGCCCGCAAACGGGTTTAACCCGGCCCGCGAGATGATAAAAAAAAAAAAAAGGGGGGGTTTTAAAATAATTTTGTAAAGTATAAAAATGCGCTGCAATTTTTCAATAAAATAAACTGCTGTTCCAATTGCGTCCACTGGGTGGCGCAATAGCAATTGTGTTAAGCAAGCAAACTGTTTATACCGGGGCAGAGCAAGTAGTTCAAGCACGTGCAGCCAATGAGCTACTTTGTTTTGCCCGCGATATTTATTACGGCTTCTACTTTTAACATTATGTGCTTTGGCACCCTCATTGCCCCAATATGTCTCTGTCAAAAAAGAGAAAAGTGGACGCAGAGTGCAGAGTGTTCCAAGAAAAATGGTCATCCTATTTATGCTGAAAGAATATAACCTTCGTCGCCACTATGTGAGTCTTCATGCCGACAAATATGACAACTTTCAAGGACAGCGGAGATGAGAGAAGGTGAATGAACTGTTGGCGGGTCTGAAGAAACAGCAGTCTGTGTTTACTCACAGCCGAGACATCAGTGACGCTGCAGTGAAAGCTAGCTACCTCATTGCTAATGAAATCGCAGTGGCTTCAAAACCATTTAGTGAGGGTGAATTTGTAAAAACATGCATGATGAAGGCAGCGGAGTTTGTGTGCCCTGAAAAGCGGCAGGCTTTTGCAAATATCAGCCTGACAAGAAACACAGTTGCAGACAGGATTTCCGATCTTTCAGTGGATTTGGACAGCCAGTTGAAGCAAAAAGTAAAGTCATTTATTGCGTTTTCGGTTGCAATTGATGAAAGCACGGACATTACAGATGTTGCACAACTGGCAATTTTCATCCGCGGAGTTGATGACACATTGACCGTCACCGAGGAGTTCGTGGAGTTGGTGCCGATGACAGATACAACGACAGCAGCTGATATTTTTACCGCACTCGTCGGCGCGTTGGACAGGGTCGGAGTGGACTGGTCCCGCGCTGTCAGCCTGGCTACAGATGGTGCGCCCTCAATGATCGGGAAAAAAGCAGGCGTTGTGACAAAGTTCAGAGAGAAAGTGCAATCTGCAAATTGACTTTTCACTGTATTTTGAAACAGGAGGCTTTGTGTTGCAAGTCATTAAAGATGGATAACGTCATGAAGGTGGTCATCCAAACTGTTAATTTCATCCGATCCAGAAGCCTGAATCACCGTCAGTTTGACAGCCTTCTCAGAGAGAAAGACCACATCTATGGCCTGCCATACCACACTGAGGTAAGATGGTTAAGCCGAGGTGCTGTGCTGAGGCGTTTCTTTGATTTACGAGAAGAAATTGAACAGTTCATGGAAGAAAAGGGCAAACCAGTGTTAGAATTTCATTCCGCAGAATGGATGCAGGACCTTGCATTTATGGTGGATGTTACAGAGCACCTGAATAACTTGAACAAACAGCTGCAAGGGCGCAACAAAGTTGTCACGCAGTATTATGACAGCATAAGTTCTTTCAAGTTGAAGCTGTCATTGTGGGAGACGCAACTTGCCGGTGGTGATGCAGCTCACTTCCCCTGTCTGAAAAATGTGTGCGCGACCCAACATGTGGCAGACATGAAGCGGTTCAAAGATAAAATAACGGGACTGTTACGGGAGTTTGAGCAACGCTTTCAGATTTATGTTTATATGTTTTTATGTTGATGTGCTATTGTTTTTAATTGATTTTATTTTATTTGTATATTTAACCTATTCTTGACTCTGTGGTTCTTGCACTTGTTTGGGGAACAGGATTTCATTATTTTTATCTACATTTCTGCCTGAGAAATGACACCCTGATATAGTTCTGTGATCTGTGATATACTTCTGTGAATCACTGAGGCATTGTGTGTTTGTGTGTTCTTTGTCCTCAGAACTTTCAAATAACTTGAGGTGTTTTATGATTAATAGTGATGTTGTGCTTTTGGACACTGTCCTCAAGCTCCAGCTTTATGTTTATATGTTTTTATGTTGATGTGCTATTGTTTTTAATTGATTTTATTTTATTTGTATATTTAACCTATTCTTGACTCTGTGGTTCTTGCACTTGTTTGGGGAACAGGATTTCATTATTTTTATCTACATTTCTGCCTGAGAAATGACACCCTGATATAGTTCTGTGATATACTTCTGTGAATCACTGAGGCATTGTGTGTTTGTGTGTTCTTTGTCCTCAGAACTTTCAAATAACTTGAGGTGTTTTATGATTAATAGTGATGTTGTGCTTTTGGACACTGTCCTCAGGCTCCAGCTTTATGTTTATATGTTTTTATGTTGATGTGCTATTGTTTTTAATTGATTTTATTTTATTTGTATATTTAACCTATTCTTGACTCTGTGGTTCTTGCACTTGTTTGGGGAACAGGATTTCATTATTTGTATCTACATTTCTGCCTGAGAAATGACACCCTGATATAGTTATGTGATCTGTGAAACAGTTCTGTTAATCACTGAGGCATTGTGTGTTTGTGTGTTCTTTTTCTTTAGAATTTTCAAATAAACTTGACGTGTTTTATGATTAATAGTGATGTTGTGCTTGTACTATTTTGGACACACTGTCCTCAGGCTCCAGCTTTATGTTGTATGTTGATCGTATTAAAACAAAGAAAACAATCTGAAGTTGTTGTTTTTAAGTTATATATACCATGATTTTTCCGGTCCGGCCCACTTGGGAATAGATTTTCCTCCATGTTGCCCCTGAGCTAAAATGAGTTTGACACCCCTGTTATAGACTGATCATTTCTTTGTCAGTGGGCAAACGTACAAAATCAGCAGGGGATCAAATACTTTTTTCCCTCACTGTATCTATTATATTTCTGGGAATATTTGATTTTACTCAAACATTTGGATACTGTAAGATGTATTTCTCAACATACCGCTTTCAGAGTGAGGTCACACTGGAAGACCAGCTTTCGTAACTGGGTGAGGATCTCACTCTTGGTGTTGGCCAGGTCCACTCTCTTCACTCCTACGTCTGTCAGACAGGCCTTGCAGTGGTCTCTGGCCTCATCCGCCTATGGAAAAGGGTAGGGGTGGAACAGCTCACAACTACAATCAACTGATCAAAAGGGTATCATCTTCAGTATGTGAATGTGGATTCCCAGGTAGCAGTTATGGGTTAGTTGTTCAGACGTGGTTAACTCTGGATAAGAGCGTCTACTAAATGACGAGCTATGGGCCTCACTGACAAGCTAAGGGCCTCATGGACAAGATATTTTACCTTCTGCAGAGCCTCCTCCTCCAGCCTGCGTCTCTTCTCCAGCTTGGCTGCTCCCAGCTGCTCCTCCTCTACTCGGCTGGTGGACACCCGGGCCTTCTCATACTCCTCCTGTCTCTGAGCCTGCAGAACACGGGCCCTTCCTCAGGGCACTGTCCGCCTCATGCTGAAAACACACACAGCGTTAACACTAGGGAAACACAAGGCAAATAAACCCACTAACCCACACATGTACGCACACAAACATGTCTGCTACAAAATTGTTGACTCAGCCCTAATCATTGTTCAATGTTCAACCCATTTTCTCTCACACTGCAAAGGCAAAACATGGTTCCAAAACACACAAAGGAAACACACACAAACTGTCCTTAGAGATACACACTAACCAACCCAGTTTGTTCAGGGTCTGCTCTCGTCTAGTCACACTGGTGGTGCAATTGGACCTGAAGAGATTACCTTCAACACTGCAGCTATTAAACCACCTGAATAATGGCAAGAGCCTGGCGCTCACACACACACACACACACACACACACACACACAGCTAGGGGGTTTACATAGCCTTTGATGACTGTGGCTCTGTTTGCTTTAAGTTTCCTTTTAAAGTGACCTTTTAAAGTTCTGAAGTTCCACCCACCATTTTCTTCTGTTCTCTCTGCCACTGCTCTTTGACCTCCTTCCTCAGTTTGTCCAGCTCGTTCTTCCGCGCGAGGAGAGGCTAGAGAACCCCCCCCCCCACACACACACACACACACACACACACACACACACACACACACACACACACACACACACACACACACACACACAAACACACGCTTCAGTGAGTCAATGCTAATTTATCCATCAAATGCCTGTGAGTATGGATTATGCAGATCAGAGCATCACATACTGTAGAAAAGTCACGTAGACAGATGTACGTACCTGCATGAATTTGTTGGTTTGAAGGGTAGCTGCTGTGTGTAGTAGGAGCTGGCTGGACTCAATATCATTCTTGAACGCTGACATGTAGATGTCCTGGAATGGCATGAACTCCTTTGATGGGAAGACAACAAAAGTGACTAATCACAATTCAAAAAGAAGTAGTGTAGATGGTTTAAAATGATTCATTGTTATGGCAGCTGTTATCTTTTGAGATAACAATTGACTGGTGAATAGTGTGGTTATTATAACAAATGCAACTGATATGAGCAGAAAACATATTTAATCATAATCACCTGTTGACTTGCGAGTGTCTTCGCTGATTCTGCCATTTTGGCGTAGCTCTTCGCACACTCGATATCTGCAATCAGACACTCAACGTTACCTGGCTAGCCTGGCTATGTCATAGATACCATACATGTTCAATACAGCTTGATTAAGTAGCTAGTGTCACTGTGTGTGTAGGATGTAGACATTGAGTGATTAAGTACAGGACAGTAACCTATTCATCCAACTAGAGGACCTAACGACAAATGACTGAACATACTACTACACTCTTAGAAACAAAGGCGCTATCTAGAACCTAAAAGGGTTCTTCGGCTGTCCCCATAGGAGAACCCTTTGAAGACTCCCTTTTGGTTCCAGGTAGAATCCTTTCCACAGAGGGTTCTACATGAAACTCAAAAGAGTTCTACTTGGAACCAAAAGGGGTTCTACCTGGAACCAAAAAGGGTTATTCTATGGGGATAGCCGAAGAACCCTTTGGGAACCCTTTTTGCTAAGAGTGTACACTACACTGTGCTTAGGTAAGTTTAGCGTTTACTGTAGTGACAAAGCATATAATAACCTCATCAGTGTTATATTCAACCCATGCAAGTTTGTCCTAGTGTATATCTGGGTCAATATAGAACAGGTGTGAAACTATCTATTATTGTATACAAGTAGGCTAATACTAGGACAAACTAAGCTAATATACAGTAGCTCATGCTAGGACAAACTAAGCTAATATACAGTAGCTAATGCTAGGACAAACTAAGCTATTATACAGTAGCTAATGCTAGTACAAACTAAGCTAATATACAGCAGCTAATGCTAGGACAAACTAAGCTAATATACAGTAGCTAATGCTAGGACAAACTAAGCTAATATACAGTAGCTAATGCTAGTACAAACTAAGCTAATATACAGAAGCTAATGCTAGGTCAAACTAAGCTAATATACAGTAGCTAATGCTAGGACAAACTAAGCTAATGTTCAGTTGCTAATACTAGGCTAACACTAAGAAAAAAACACTTCCAGAGCTGAGGTAAAAGGAGTTAAAGATCAGCAAAGACCCTTAACAGTGACACAGCTTACAACGACCCTCTGTTTTTATGCACGACACAACGTGGAGAGCCTGGATACAGCCGTTAGCCGTGGTATATTGGCCATATACCACAAACACCTGATGTGTTTGGGGTATATTATAAACTGGTTAACAACGTAATTAAAACAGTAAAAATAAATGTTTTGTCATACCCATGGTATACAGAATGATATACCACTACTTTCAGCCAATCAGCATTCAGGGCTCGAACCACACGGTTTATAATATCTAATCTAATAACAGTGTTCTGTTTAATTCTGTGGCTCTGACTCAACAATAATGAGGTGTTTCTCTGTATTAATCATATGTGTGTTAGAGGAAGGGGGAGGGAGAGAGACTCACCCATACTGAGTCGTTTGTCCACCCAGGCCAGCAGCTCCTTGGTGTACTTGGACCAGGCCTTGGCGTATAGTAGAGCTGACTCCACCCCGCCTTCACTCCGCAGCAGCGCCACGTCCACACCATCCACCTCCTCCGTCCTCGCCGGCGGCAATGGACCTGTGATGGTAATGGTAACACGCCATGGGTTGGGGAAGAAGAAGTTACTGGGCCTAGGCCTGAGACCGAGCATTGCTACCTACTGGCTAACAGCTACTGGCAACTAGCTACGGACAAGCACCTCTCTATCGCATGTGTGTGTATGTGTGTATGATTGTGTGTGTGTGTTCGTGTGTGTGTACCAGTGTGTGTGTCAGATCTGTCAGAAAGTAAAGTCCCTGTTGACCTTGGGTTATGTGTTGGTAATACACTGTAATGCTAAGTAGACTGGACAGGACAGGGATTGCCTCCTCTGTGTTAATATGACTGAGCTTACAGATCACTCTGTGTGACAGGAGAGCTGATATAGGCCCCTTAACTATACCATAGAGACTACATACAGACAGCCTATATTTACACACACACACACACACACACACACACACATATATATATATATATATATATATATATATATATATATATATATATATATACAGTACCAGTCAAAAGTTTGGACACATCTACTCATTCAAGGAGATTCTTCAAATAGCCACCCTTTGCCCTGACGGAAGCTTTGCACGCTCTTGGCATTCGCTCAACCAGCTTCACCTGGAATGTTTTTCCAACAGTCTTGAAGGAGTTCCCACATATGCTGAGCACTTGTTGGCTGCTTTTACTTCACTCTGCTGTCCGACTCATCCCAAACCATCTCAATTGGGTTGAGGTTGGGGGATTGTGGAGGCCAGGTCATCTGATTCAGCACTCCATCACTCTCTTTCTTGGTAAAATAGCCCTTACACAGCCTGGAGGTGTGTTGGGTCAATGTCCTGTTGAAAAACAAATAATAGTCCCACTAAGCCCAAACCAGATGGGCTGGCGTATCGCTGCAGAATGCTGTGGTAGCCATGCTGGTTAAGTGTGCCTTGAATTCTAAATAAATCACAGACAGTGTCACCAGCAAAGCACCGCCACACCATAACACCTCCTCCTCCATGCTTTACGGTGGGAAATACACATGCGGAGATCATCCGTTCACCCACACCGCGTCTCACAAAGACACAGCGGTTGGAACCAAAAATCTCAAATTTTGACTCATCAGACCAAAGGACAAATTTCCACCAGTCTAATGTCCATTGCTCGTGTTTCTTGGCCCAAGCAGGTCTCTTCTTCTTATTGGTGTCCTTTAGTAGTAGTTTCTTTGCAGCAATTCGACCATGAAGGCCTGATTCACACAGTCCCCTTTGAACAGTTGATGTTGAGATGTGTCTGTGACTTCTATTTGGGCTGCAATTTCTGAGGCTGGTAACTCTAATGAACTTATCCTCTGCAGCAGAGTCTTCCATTCCTGTGACGGTGCTCATGAGAGCCAGTTTCATCATAGCGCTTGATGGTTTTTGCGACTGCACTTGACGAAACTTTCAAAGTTCTTGAAATGTTCCGTATTGACTGTCCTTCATGTCTTGAAGTAATGATGGACTGTCATTTGTCATTGCTTATTTGAGCTGTTCTTGCCATAATATGGACTTGGTCTTTCACCAAATAGGGCTATCTTCTGTATACCCCCCCTAACTTGTCACAACACAACTGATTGGCTCAAACGCATTAAGAAGGAAAGATATTCCACAAATTAACTTTTAATTAATTAATTGTTAATTAAAATGCATTCCAGGTGACTACCTCATGAAGCTGGTTGAGAGAATGCCAAGAGTGTGCAAAGCTGTCATCAAGGCAAAGGGTGGCTATTTGAAGATTCTCAAATATAACATATATTTTGTTTTGTTTAACACTTTTTTGGTTACTACATGATTCTATATGTGCTATTTCATAGTTTTGATGTCTTCACTATTATTCTACAATGTAGAAAATAGTAAAAATAAAGACAAACCCTTGAATGAGTAGGTGTGTCCAAACTTTTGACCGGTACTACATATATTATATATATATATATATATATATATATATATATATATATATATATATATATATATATATATAAAGCACCGTTCAAAAGTTTGGGGTCAACTAGAAATGTCCTTGTTTTTGAAAGAAAAGCAATTTTTTTGTCTATTAAAATAACATCAATTTCATCAGAAATACAGTGTAGACATTGTTAATGTTGTAAATGGCTATTGTAGCTGGAAACGGCAGATTTTTTATGGAATTCCTACATAGTCGTACAGAGGCCCATTATCAGCAACCATCAGTCATTTACATTTAAATTTTAGTAATTTAGTAGACGCTCTTATCCAGAGCGACTTACAGTTAGTGAGTGCATACATTTTTCATACTTTTTCAGTCCTGTGTTCCAATGGCATGTTGTGTTTGCTAATCCAAGTTTATCATTTTAAAAGGCTAATTGATCATTAGAAAACCCTTTTGCAATTATGTTAGCACAGCTGAAAACTGTTGTGCTGATTAAAGAGGCAATAAACCTGGCCTTCTTGAGACTAGTTGAGAATCTGGAGCGTCAGCAACAGGCTCAAAATGGCCAGAAACAAATAACTTTCTCCTGAAACTCGTCAGTCTATTCTTGTTCTGAGAAATTAAGGCGAGAAATTGCCAAGAAACTGAAGATCTCGTACAACGCTGTGTACTACTCCCTTCACAGAACAGAGGAAACTGGCTCTAACCAGAATAGAAAGAGGAGTGGGAGGCCCCATTGCACAACTGAGCAAGAGGACAAATACATTAGAGCGTCTAGTTTGAGAAACAAACGCCTCACAGGTCCTTAACTGGCAGCTTCATTAAATAGTACCCGCAAAACACCAGTCTCAACGTCAACAGTGAAGAGGCGACTCCGGGATGCTGACCTTCTAGGCAGAGTTGCAAAGAAAAAGCCATATCTCAGACTGGCCAATGAAAAGAAAAGATTAAGATGGGCAGTCTGAGATATGGCTTTCTTTTTGCAAATGTATAAAAAATAAAAAACGGAAATATCACATTTACATAAGTATTCAGACCCTTTACTCAGTACTTTGTTTAAGCACCTTTGGCAGCGATTACAGCCTTGAGTCTTCTTGGGTATGACACTACAAGCTTGGCACACCTGTATTTGGAGAGTTTCTCCCGTTCTTCTCTGCAGATCCTCTCAAACTCTGTCAGGTTGGATCGGGAGCGTTGCTGCACAGCTATTTTCAGGTCTCTCAAGAGATGTTCGATCAGGTTCAAGTCCGGGCTCTGGCTGGGCCACTCAAAGACATTCAGAGACTTGTACCGAAGCCATTCCTGCGTTGTCTTGGCTGTGGGCTTAGGGTCGTTGTCCTGTTGGAAGGGGAACCTTTGCCCCAGTCTGAGGTCCTGAGCGCTCTGGAGCAGGTTTTCATAAAGGATCTCTCTGTACTTTGCTCGATCCTGACTAGTCTCCCAGTCCCACCGCTGAAAAACATCCCCACAGCATGATGCTGCCACCACTATGCTTCACCGTAGGGATGGTGCCAGGTTTCCTCCAGACGTGACGCTTACCATTCAGGCCAACGAGTTCAATCTTGGTTTCATCAGACCAGAGCATCTTGTTTCTCATGGTCTGAGAGTCTTTAGGTGCCTTTTGGCAAACTCCAAGCAGGCTGTCATGTGCCTTTTACTGAGGAGTGGCTTCTGTCTGGCCACTCTACCATAAAGGCCTAATTGGTGGAGTGCTGCAGAGATGGTTGTCCTTCTGGAAGGTTCTCCCATCTCCACAGAGGAACTCTAGAGCTCTGTCAGAGTGACCATCAGGTTCTTGGTCACCTCCCTGACCAAGGCCCTTCTCCCCCGATTGCTCAGTTAGGCCGGGCAGCCAGCTCTAGGAAGAGTCTTGGTGGTTCCAAACTTCTTCCATTTAAGAATGATGGAGGCCACTGTGTTCTTGGGGACCTTCAATGCTGCAGAAATGTTTTGGTACCCTTCCCCAGATCTGTGTCTCGACACAATCCAGTCTCGGAGCACTACGGACAATTCCTTCGACCTCATGGCTTGGTTTTTGCTCTGACATGCACTGTCAACTGTGGGACCTTATATAGACAGGCGTGTGCCTTTCCAAATCATGTCCAATCAATTGAATTTACCACAGGTGGACTCCAATCAAGTTGTAGAAACATCTCAAGGATGATCAATGGAAACAGGATGCACCTGAGCTCAATTTCGATTCTCATAGCAAAGGGTATGAATACTTATTTAAATAAGGTATTTCTGTTTTTTGTTTTTAAGAAATAACAAACATATACACTACCGTTCAAAAGTTTGGGGTCACTTAGAAATGTCCTTCTTTTTGAAAGAAAAGCAATTTTTTGTCCATTAAAATAACATCAAATTGATCAGAAATACAGTGTAGACATTGTTAATGTTGTAAATGGCTATTGTAGCTGGAAACGGCTGATTTCTAATGGAATATCTACATAGGTGTACAGAGGCCCATTATGAGGTATAGTGTGTAGATTGATGAGGGAAAAAACGATTTAATACATTTTTCAATAAGGCTGTAACCTAACAAAATGTGGAAAAAGTCAAGGGGTCTGAATACTTTCAGAAGGCACTGTATTAGAGTGAGAATATAAATATGTGGTGTGTACAGACAATATCATTTGGAAAATAAAATGGTATGTACAGTACTAGGTATACTAGGATGAGCTATTCACAGTGGTTCCGTGTTTCTAGCCACCCAGCTTTGTGACAGAGGAAATGTAGTTTTTTGAGTACACAGAGTGACGTAACACAGATTAACAGATGGAGCTGTATTAAGGTGATAGTGGAGAGGGCACTTTCGCTCAACAAACTCTTCTAGAGCCATCCCACTGGGCACAGACTTTGAGTTGCACCCACTTTTGCCCTCAGAACAGACTCAATTCGTCTGGGCATGGACTCTACAAGGTGTCTAAAGAATTTCACAGCCCATGTTGACTCCAATGCTTCCCACAGTTGTGAGAAGTTGGCTGGATGTCCTTTGTGTGTACTGTCACCCCAAGTGACATATAGCCTATTGACACATTGACACCTAATCATCTTTAGTTATTTTTAGGTGTTTTCAATTGTTGTTTTTGATAACATTGAGTTTTTATTGCGTATATCTGGCATTTGACACGTTAACACTTTTTGGCTTGGCTAGCTAGCTTTTGTTTAAAAACTGCATCTGGACACAGTACCATCTTTTTTTGTTTCACCTGGCTGCCAATTCCAGCTCTTTTGAGAACATAATTTGAGGAATCGCCTGAAGCGTGAGAGGAATGCGAGATAGAGGAATACAGCAGTGCTGAGAAAGAGGGCTCGTAATGAGGACGACTGGCTACTATTCTGAACTTTGCGTGGTGAGTTTTCTGGCACTCACAGCTGCTGAGGAATCACCCAAGTGGGTGCTACACAGAGTGGAAGAGGAGAAGTCCAGTAGCTATACGACTCAGGCTGGTTCCCAGACTTGCCCTCTACAAGATCATCAGCAGACTCCATCACCATCATCTACCATCCTCTGTCTAGCTCCCTTCGCTCAAGCCATGAACTGACCCTCTCCATCTTCGGAGGATAAAGAGTTCAGAGACTTGGCCTCTATTGGTTGACCTGTCATGATATATTGCTTGTTTGTTTTTTTGCTCTTGAAGCGCTTTGAGATTCTATGAAAAGCGCTATAGAAATGTAATTAATTATTATTATTATTAATAAAAACATATACAAAGAAAGGGCTGGTTTATGTCAATGTGTAATGTTTTTATAAGGGAGTGCCAAGCCAAGCTGTCATACAGTATATCGTAAAATGTGAAGAGCTATCAGTTGTTAAGTGGATGGAGTATTAAGGTGTCATGGTGGTTGTATTGCATCTTACCTGATGGATCATCTTTCTCTGGACCGGATACTACAGATTCCACGGAAAGGTTCTCAAACGACTGGGAATGAGACAGACGGACAGAACGGTTCCACAGTGATGAGTGAGGAACCGGATGGTACATGACATGACAGAATGACCATGGCTAGTGAGCATTTTAATTTCCCTTTGTGTTATAGTAAAAAGCTATAAATTACATCAACACCCTGTCATGCTGTAATTAATCACTAGAAGATATTTCAGGAGTACCCTCCACTTCAGTGTTATTTTGTTGTTTCCTGAGAGCACCATATCCTTTGACCTCCCCATTCTGGGTATCTTTAGACAGTCAATCACCTGCCTTTACCGTAAATACATACATAATGTCCAGACAGACAGTTGTGTGTGTATGTGTGTGTGTGTGTGTGTATGTGTGTGTATGTGTGTGTGTATGTCTTACCTTGCTTCTCCGAGTCAGGGGCAGCCCCAACACTGATCCATTCTCTACATCTCCCATAAGGAAGTCAGACACTCTGAAAGAGGAACACACATCAACAATGAAAGGCATATACATACAGTACTACGGAAATAACCCTTAAGCACTGGTCTGGTGTCAGTTGTGTTGTTTTTATAACAATGGTAAGTGTATGGATTTGGTTGTTGGCAACACTTTAAGAGTCAACAACACAGGCAGCCATTATGCAAGGAAACATAGACTGAAGGTTGAGAATATTACATTATCTAGAGGTGTAAGACAAGGATGACCTTTACCTATTTATTATTGCAATATAAATATTGGCTATAAATGCAAGATCAAATATAGTTTGTTTGTGTCACAATAAAGAGTCAGAAAAAAATGAGCTAGTTATTGCAATCACTATTACAACGCTGTACTTACACATTGCCAAAGGTGAACGCCAATGTGTCGATAGAAGTGTATATCTCTCCGAAAAGCTTCTGCTTGTTCTCCTCGTTTACCTCCTTGAAGTTAACACCTGTCAAAACAGATGAAGCAAGTTAGGCTAAACTGTGAAACCAAATAACTTGGACAACCTACACCTATTCAGAACTGAAGACATGATGCACTGTAATGTCAAAACATATAACCTACATGAACATGAGACTAATCATTATCAGAATATGTTGCTATACAGGTTGAGAGACAGCAGAGATTTGACTACAGTAGAGATTTGACTGAAACAGCAGAGATGTGACTGAAACAGCAGAGATTTGACTGAAAAAGCAGAGATTTGGCTGAAACAGCAGAGATTTGGCTGAAACAGCAGAGATTTGGCTGAAACAGCAGAGATTTGACTGAAACAGCAGAGATTTGGCTGAAACAGCAGAGATTTGACTGAAACAGCAGAGATTTGACTGAAACAGTAGAGATTTGACTGAAACAGCAGAGATTTGACTGAAATAGCAGAGATGTGACTGAAACAGTAGAGATTTGACTGAAACAGCAGAGATTTGACTGAAACAGCAGAGATTTGACTGAAACAGCAGAGATTTGACTGAAACAGCAGAGATGTGACTGAAACATTAGAGATTTGACTGAAACAGCAGAGATTTGACTGAAACAGTAGAGATTTGACTGAAACAGCAGAGATGTGACTGAAACAGTAGATATTTGACTGAAACAGCAGAGATTTGACTGAAATAGCAGAGATGTGACTGAAACAGTAGAGATTTGACTGAAACAGCAGAGATTTGACTGAAACAGTTGAGATTTAACTGAAACGTAGAGATTTAACCGAAACAGTAGAGATTTGACTGAAACAGTAGAGATTTGACTGAAACAGTAGAGATTTGACTGAAACAGTAGAGATTTAACTGAAACCGTAGAGATTTAACTGAAACAGTAGAGATTTAACTGAAACAGTAGAGGTTTGACTAAAACAGTAGAGATGTGACTGAAACAGTAGAGATTTGACTGAAACAACTGAGATTTGACTGAAACAGTAGAGATTTGAGATTTGACTGAAACTGTAGAGAAATGATTGAAACAGTAGAGATTTGACTGAAACAGCAGAGATTTTACATAAAAAGCAGAGTTTTGACTGAAACAGTACTGATTGAATTGTAATCTGGAAAGGCACACAGTTTCCTGCCTTAAGTCTAAACAAAGTGATGACTGAAAAAGAGAAGGGAAAAACACCAATGTAAATAGGTCTATAATCAGTCTCCACAATAAACTTCCTGTCCCACTCGGGAGGAGGAGAGAAAATAAACCAGGATAGAAGCTCAACAGGCAGCACCAACAGCTCAAGCTGCATCTGAAACTGCACTCTATTCCCTATATATTGCACTACTTTGGACCACAGCGCTATGGTAGATCCCTGTGGACCCTGGTAAAAAGTAGTGCACTATCGGGGAATAGGGTTCCATTTGGGACGCAACACCAGTGACGCCATTCCCTGCGGCCATTCCCCTAGTGTCGATGTTCTCTCCGCCTAACAATAAAGATGTCTAGAGATCAGGAGGGGAGCAGGAGATCAAGAGAATGGTTCAAGGAAAGAGGCTTGTAGAAAGCTCCTTCTACAAAGCACTTTTTCTTCTTCTTACCAGAAAGTTCTTTGAGTTGTCTTCTTTTACATTAGATATATTAGAATGCTCTAATTAAACGATTAGTAGCCCAGGTTGAATGTTTTCTAGTTAGTTGAGCCCCATGGAGACTTAGTTCCAAAACAGTTCAAACAACACTTAGCAGCACAAGAACCACAAACGGTTTCCCATTCTAGAATCCTCTTCGTCATACAGGAAATAGGTAAGCAAGCGACAAAGGAACTAGGAGACTCAGAGAGAGAGAGAGACCAGCAGCTCTCTATGCTCTTACAGTGCAGGCTTCCTGTCTCTATACAACAAGAGGAACTCTACAGTAAAACACACACACACACACACGCCAGCCAACACTTACCCTTCAGTGGCTGAACACTTTTTAGCATTCAGTCTGTGTGTATGATGTGGTCCGCAGTCGGGTGGTTGTTATAGCACCACCACTGTCCCAGCCACAAACTCTTTCTACCCAATCTGCTCTCAAGGACTTCTCTCTCTTCTCTCTTCTATGTTGGTCTTCCTGACTGTATGGTACAACCACTCCTTGACTGTAGAACCACTCCTTACTCAGTAGGTACTTCGTGGTTCAGTGGTTCCAAAGGGGGACCTGCCTCTAGTGGTCAAGCTGATCTACAGCCCGTTTAATGCGCTAAAGCTTTCTCCAACTGACACAGGGGAAATGGCTGCACAAATCTCCTCCTTTATCTCCCTTTGAGTCACCCAAAAAGCTTCTCTTTCCAGGGAATTGAGGCAAAATGTCTCCAGTACGGAATTCAAGCCAATTCCATAAGTTCCAGAAGCTCCTATGAGAGGTAGGACCCTTTCAGACGGGACGGTAGAGTTAGTGGTTCCTGGTAGTTTGACTCCCAGGATCGTCTGTCTGTGAACGCAGCTAGCTAGCTCCGCCTAGGACGCTATCGCTGCGTCTCTCTGGCCTTTACGTCCTCTCCTACCCCCTCCTCCCCTCTCCGCAACACAGGACATCCTGAAGCTCACTAGAACACAATGCCAGCGCTCGCTCCGGCCAACCACAGTCCAAACGTGGATGTTACATCATCAGGCAAAAACTGCATTGTTTTCACTGGGAAAGCACATTACTCCTGAACGAACACTAATCAATTCCACCTCTCAGCCCAGTGCAGGGGGAAGCTTGCTGACAAAACAGATATTAATGGGAGCAAACATACATGACTTAGCCAGGACATAGGAAGCAGGTCATTGGGGGCCATCAGGCCATAGGGGCCATCATGGTAATGTGAATGCCTCAATGACCCACATACATAATGTGACTGGACTATGGTTTACAAATTCCAGCAACATCCCAAAATGACCCAGTTTTCCAGAAATCCTGGTTGGAGGATTCCGGATTTCCTGTTTGTTCCCTCTTGATTCTGGGAACCTCCAACCGGGACTTCCGGAAAACCTGGACATTTTGGGAAAGTTACTGGAACTTTGCAACCCTACACTGTACCAATGTAGGGAGGGGAAACAACCACATCTCTTCATTCAGGAAATGACCGGTGTCATGTGACAGGTGTCAAGTCATGGTGTTCATCACATGTCATTTTGGTGTCCTTCTCAGATACCTTGGTTTAGCTAATTGGGTGATACACCACCTACAGAAAAAGTATTTTAATTTGCTCATTGTATAAACACCTTTGCTGAACTCGTAAGACTATGTGTAGGATATCTTGCGACAGACAGACAGACAGACAGACAGACAGACAGACAGACAGACAGACAGACAGACAGACAGACAGACAGACAGACAGACAGACAGACAGACAGACAGACAGACAGACAGACAGACAGACAGACAGACAGACAGACAGACAGACAGACAGACAGACAGACAGACAGACAGACAGACAGACAGACAGATAGATAGATAGATAGATAGATAGATAGATAGATAGATAGATAGATAGATAGATAGATAGATAGATAGATAGATAGATAGATAGATAGATAGATAGATAGATAGATAGATAGATAGATAGATAGATAGATAGATAGATAGATAGATAGATAGATAGATAGATAGATAGATAGATAGATAGATAGATAGATAGATAGATAGATAGATGGATGGATAGGGTTAGGGCCAACTCCCTAACCCTTGTCTCTTCCTCTCTCTTTCCTCCTGGTGTGTGTCTCCTCTCCCTGGACAGAGACCAGTGCTGTGAAAGTCATAGCCCCACTAGGAGAGCATGAATTAGGCCAGGCATGAGCGACTGGGGACGGTTCCTGATCCACTGAGCCAGTATGGCGGGCAGAGACAGACACACAAACACGCACACACACACGCACACACACATGCACACACACACACACACACACACACACACACACACACACACACACAGAGAGAGACACAGACCCCAGTTATCTCCACCCTAGGCACAGGGCCACAGCCTAGCCGCACGCCTGGATATTCCACTTTCTCTTATTTTAATCTCTCCTACCTGAAATGATTACTTCAGTCTCACGTTACATGGGGACCAGGCCAGGTGTGTGTGCGTGCGTGCGTGTGAAGTGACTAATGTTGGCAAAGAATGAAGGATGCCAATGAGTATGTGTGTATAGCCTGTTGAGCCTTATTGTGTGAGGGTCTACTACAGAGGACACATATTCTGGCCCTCTAGTGGTGAGAAAGGTTATCATGGTGAAGTATGGAATTAAGAATGAAAGAACAACATGCTAGTTTAATGGGAGTGTCCTGGAGCTTATACCTTAAGCATTTTATTGATTCAGCAGTGATACTGCTGTTCTGTTCCTATATACACAAAGCACTGTTAATATTAAACTGTTCACAAGAGAAAGCCCCACAGCCTTGAAACCAGATTAGTCATTAGCAACATCACATGACTATTGGCTAGCTAGCCACAGGAGGCTCTATGTGAAGTCTTTTCAACTGTCACAGTAGAGCATGCAGATCTACTGCATCCAGCGCTAACGCTCACTCTGTCTCTGTCCAAGCCGCCATACAATAGCTTCCTTCAGTTCTGCTTGAAATGCACCCAGGCTGCATACCGTAGTGTACAGTCATGGTCAAAAGTTTTGAGAATGACACAAATATTAATTTTCACAAAGTCTGCTGCCTCAGTTTTTATGATGGCAATTTGCATATACTCCAGAATGTTATGAAGTGTGATCAGATCAATTGCAATTAATTGCAAAGTCCCTCTTTGCCATGAAAATGAACGAAATCCCCCAAAAAACATTTCCACTGCATTTCAGCCCTGCCACAAAAGGACCAGCTGACATCATGTCAGTGATTCTCTCGTTAACACAGGTGAGAGTGTTGACGAGGACAAGGCTGGAGATCACTCTGTCATGCTGATTGAGTTAGAATAACAGACTGGAAGCTTTAAAAGGAGGGTGGTGCTTGAAATCATTGTTCTTCCTTTGTTAACCATGGTTACCTGCAAGGAAACACGTTCCGTCATCATTGCTTTGCACAAAAAGGGCTTCACAGGCAAGGATATTGCTGCTAGTAATATTGCACCTAAATCAACCATTTATCGGATCATGAAGAACTTCAAGGAGAGAGGTTCAATTGTTGTGAAGAAGGCTCCCAAGAAAGTCCAGCAAGCGCCAGGACCGTCTCCTAAAGTTGATTCAGCTGCGGGATCGGGGCACCACCAGTGCAGAGCTTGCTCAGGAATGGCAGCAGGCAGGTGTGAGTGCATTTTCACGCACAGTGAGGCGAAGACTTTTGGAGGATGGCCTGGTCTCAAGAAGGGCAGCGAGGAAGCCACTTCTCTCCAGGAAAAACATCAGGGACAGACTGATATTCTGCAAAAGGTACAGGGATTGGACTGCTGAGGACTGGGGTAAAGTCATTTTCTCTGATGAATCCCCTTTCCGATTGTTTGGGGCATCCGGAAAAAAGCTTGTCCGGAGAAGACAAGGTGAGCGCTACCATCAGTCCTGTGTCATGCCAACAGTAAAGCAACCTGAGACCATTCATGTGTGGGGTTGCTTCTCAGCCAAGGGAGTGGGCTCACTCACAATTTTGCCTAAGAACACAGCCATGAATAAAGAATGGTACCAACACATCCTCTGACAGCAACTTCTCCCAACTATCCAAGAACAGTTTGGTGACGAACAATGCCTTTTCCAGCATAATGGAGCACCTTGCCATAAGGCAAAAGTGATAACTATGTGGCTTGGGGAACAAAACATCGACATTTTGGGTCCATGGCCAGGAAACTCCCCAGACCTTAATCCCATTGAGAACTTGTGGTCAATCCTCAAGAGGCGGATGGACAAACAAAAACCCACAAATTCTGACAAACTCCAAGCATTGATTATGCAAGAATGGGTTGCCATCAGTCAGGATGTGGCCCAGAAGTTAATTCACAGCATGCCAGGGCGGATTGCCAGGGTCTTGAAAAATAAGTATTGACTCTTTGCATAAACTTAATGTAATTGTCAATAAAAGCCTTTGACACTTATGGAATGCTTGTAATTATACTTCAGTATACCATAGTAACATCTGACTAAAATATCTAAAAACACTGAAGCAGCAAACTATGTGAAGACCAATACTTCTCAAAACTTTTGACCACGACTGTAAACCAAGACTTGGAATCGACTTTGGTTCAATCACTTTTTAGTCATTTGGTAGAATGCATTTAGAGTGGAAGGAAGGAGAGGTATTTACAACACCACGACACACACACGCACACACAAACACCTCCCCAGCCTTTGTTCCAGGTCAATGTGTCACCGTACTTCGTTAACATAGAGCATTGCCAATGGTATGCAGCCAAACCAGGGCCAGGCCGCTATGCAATTCCAATTGAGCCGAGGTATACTCTACTCTGAGATTCTTGTGCGCGGGCCAAGTGAAGAATTGCCCTCCATGGCTGATCATAATCTCGAGGAGAGGAGATAAATGGGATTCCTGAGCCCTGTTCCCTCAGGACAGCAACACAAAGCACAAAGACTTCACTCTTTTGAGTCAAACACACTCCTCTCCCTCCTACCACTGGACTCAATAGGAATTCAGATTTAAACATTCAAATAATATATGGTCTGTATTTTTAAGTCAGGGGTTTGAATGCATGCTGTGTGTGTTATTTGAGCGAAGTTCTGATATTTAAAATGAATTAATCCTCAAAAGCCTGCTGCAAATACACCTTCTAGTTTTGCTAAACAGACAAACATGCTGGCCCTGTAATGCTTTAAGCACAAACCTTCTTCCAGACCTAATCCAGCCAAATGAGACCTGGGGGAGGTAGGGAGGCAAGGAGTGTGAGCCATTAGGGCGGGAGACAGGGAGACAGGGAGACAGGGAGGCATGAAGACAGGGAGGCAGGAAGACAAGGAGGCAGGAAGACGGGAAGCAGGAAGACAGGGAGGCAGGAAGACAAGGAGGCAGGAAGACAGGGAGGCAGGAAGACAGGGAGGCAGGAAGACAAGGAGGCAGGAAGACAGGGAGGCAGGGAGGCAGGAAGACAGGGAGGCAGGAAGACAGGGAGGCAGGGAGGCAGGGAGACAGGGAGGCAGGAAGACAGGGAGGCAGGAAGACAGGGAGGCAGGGAGGCAGGGAGGCAGGGAGACAGGGAGGCAGGAAGACAAGGAGGCAGGAAGACAGGGATGGCAGGAAGACAGGGAGGCAGGAAGACAGGGAGGCAGGAAGACAAGGAGGCAGGAAGACAAGGAGGCAGGAAGACAGGGAGGCAGGAAGACGGGGAGGCAGGAAGACAGGGAGGCAGGAAGACATGGAGGCAGGAAGACAAGGAGGCAGGGTGTGTTTGAGCTGTGTAAGGGAGGGAGATAGGGAGTTAGGGTGTGTTTGAGCTGTGTAAGGGAGGGAGATAGGGAGTCAGGGTGTGTTTGAGCTGTGTAGGGGAGGGAGATAGGGAGTTAGGGTGTGTTTGAGCTGTGAAAGGGAGGGAGATAGGGAGTTAGGGTGTGTTTGAGCTCTGTACGGGAGGGAGATAGAGAGTTAGGGTGTGTTTGAGCTGTGTAAGGGAGGGAGATAGGGAGTTAGGGTGTGTTTGAGCTGTGTAAGGGAGGGAGATAGGGAGTTAGGGTGTGTTTGAGCTGTGTAAGGGAGGGAGATAGGGAGTTAGGGTGTGTTTGAGCTGTGTAAGGGAGGGAGATAGGGAGTTAGGGTGTGTTTGAGCTGTGTAAGGGAGGGAGATAGGGAGTCAGGGTGTGTTTGAGCTGTGTAAGGGAGGGAGATAGGGAGTTAGGGTGTGTTTGAGCTGTGTAAGGGAGGGAGATAGGGAGTTAGGGTGTGTTTGAGCTGTGTAAGGGAGGGAGATAGGGAGTTAGGGTGTGTTTGAGCTGTGTCTCTATGCTCTAGGGAGTGCTGCTCACCTTTGACCTGTGCGATGACGGTGCCTGCAGCACTGAGGATGTCCACAGAGTTGAGGGTCTGGTGTTTGCTGATGACTGCCTTCAACACACGCAGCAGCTCCCCCAGACGCTCATGGACCACCTGGTGAAGACAGTCCTGGTGCTCTGGAGGACAAACAGACACAAAGACAAGACTGTTAGAGACCCATCTCAGTAACACAATGGCTACGGTGTTTGTTCATATTCATATACTGTATAAGGCACATTTTATCTGGAAAGAAAAGACACAAAGACACAACTGTTAGAGAACCATCTCTAACGTGTAAATATGTTTGTTTATATAGACTGAGTCACACTCAGAACAGACTCAATTCATCGGGGCATGGACTCTACAAGGTGTTGAAAGCGTTCCACAGGGATGCTGACCCATGTTGACTCCAAAGGTTCCCACAGTTGTGTCAAGTTGGCTGGATACCCTTTGGGTGGTGGACCATTCTTGATACACACGGGAAACTGTTGAGCATGAAAAACCCAGCAGCGTTGCAGTTCTTGACACAAACTGGTGTGCCTGGCACCTACTACCATACCCCGTTCAAAGGCACTTAAATATTTTGTCTTGCCCATTCACCCTCTGAATGGCACACATACACAATCCATGTCTCAATTGTCTCAAGGCTTAAAAATACACTGATTGAAGTGGATTTAACAGGTGACATCAATAAGTGATCATAGCTTTCACCTAGATTAACCTATGTCTAGGTTAAGGAAAGAGCAGGTGTTCTTAATGTTTTGTACACTCAGTGTACAGTAAGTGTTTATAATGCATGATAAGGATTTGTAAGTTATATATTTCAATATAAAGAGGAGACACCAGTCAAGTAATTCCACCTAGGTGTTTATTTACATTAGTCAGACATGTGTGGATCTAATACAAGAAGAAAGAGAACCCTTTGTGATTTTAGAGGCCTTAGCAAACTCAGGTATGACGGTAAATGTGACTACCTGATAACTAATGCATAACTAAACAAGACCTGTAGTGGTCTTTCTGTAATTAGTGTAGTATTTATCTGTAGTGTGTACACATCCATAATAAAACAGACCATTACTAATGCTTTAGTAATTACAGTGCTGCCTGGCTCTATAGATGTTAAGGTCAAGAGCACTTTAGTATTCAACCAGCTTGATAATGTATACACCACATAGTTAGAGGGTGAGCTCATCAGAAAGCAGCTGAATGGGAGGACAGAAATGAGTCATCTAACAGTGTCCAGATGCTTTTACGACTCCCTTGAACCTTTTATCCACCAACGCAGGGGAGTGAGTATGGTAGTGACACCGTTCTGACACAGCCTAGTAGTACCCACTGATGACTGGTTTTCCCAGAGCCCAGTGAAACTGAGGGCCACAGAGAGGGTCAGAGTCAACACACACACACACACACACTCGCAGGCCTGTCAAAGCCACATTTGTGCTGACTGTCGCCCCTGGATTACCCTGCATATGGAAAAGGGGATCAGGGAGACTTTAGCCGTCTCCCCTTTTTTCTTTTATTCATTCCCCCTCTTTTTTGGAGCGGGACAAAAAGGGCCGGCGGTGGAACTAATGTTTCTGGGTGGATGTGGCTGCCATCGCCATGACAATGCCAGCTGTCCTCCAACCAGGAAATACAGCCAGCTGACCAGTAGGTGACTGTCGGACTGCTTCATATGGACCAACAGTAAATGTCGACAAGCACCAGACCAAACAAGTGACTGCTTCATAATAGAACCACAGGGAACAAGTTACTGTAACAACCACTAGCTACATCTAACAACATGAAGTGACGATTTTATAAGAACTACCAGTCACAAGTCAACAACATCCACTAGACCAACAAGTGACCGCATCCTCAAGTCAAAACAACAGGTCACAACAAGTGAACCAACCCTAGATCAATGTACTTTATAGGATGATGTCAATAAACATCAGACCGAACACGAGAGAGAACAGAACCCTTCATTGGATAAACAGTAACAGCGATTCTACAACACCAATTGATTGTATACTGTAAAACTCCCAGCAGCCTCTCTGCTCTGCCAACAGTCTCTCTACAGGATGTCTGGAGTCTTACCCAGCTCCATGGTAACCATACCCAGTTTCATGGCAACCACCTCCATCCATCTTCTTTAGATGTCAAACTACAGCTACTTCCTGTGTCTGGAGAACCTGGTGCTTTCTCTTCCTTTTGTTTCAGCCTGGCTTCTGCCATGTTTCAGCCTGGCTCCTGCCATGTTTCAGCCTGGTTTCAGCCTGGCTTCTGCCATGTTTCAGCCTGGCTCCTGCCATGTTTCAGCCTGGCTCCTGCAATGTTTCAGCCCTGCCATGTTTCAGCCTGGCTCCTGCCATGTTTCAGCATGGCTTCTGCCATGTTTCAGCCTGGCTCCTGCCATGTTTCAGCCTGGCTCCTGCCATGTTTCAGCCTGGTTTCAGCCTGGCTTCTGCCATGTTTCAGCCTGGTTAAAACCTTGCTTCTGCCATGTTTCAGCCTGGCTCCTGCCATGTTTCAGCCTGGCTCCTGCAATGTTTCAGCCCTGCCATGTTTCAGCCTGGCTCCTGCCATGTTTCAGCACAGCTTCTGTCATGTTTCAGCCTGGCTCCTGCCATGCTTCAGCCTGGCTCCTGCCATGTTTCAGCCTGGCTCCTGCCATGTTTCAGCCTGGTTTCAGCCTGGCTTCTGCCATGTTTCAGCCTGGATCCTGCCATTTTTCAGCCTTTCTCCTGCCACGTTTCAGCCTGGTTTCAGCTTGGCTTCTGCCATGTTTCAGCCTGGCTCCTGTCATGTTTCTGCCCAGCTCTTGCCATATTTCAGCCTGGCTCCTGCCTGGCTCCCTGTGAGGAAGAGCCTCGCAGTGTGCCTCTGGCCTGGCCCCCATAATGCACCACACTGAGCCCCATTATCCAGCAGGCTGTAACTGCATTAGGGCGTGGGGAGGGGGTGGTAAGGTGGGGGTACTTCCTAAACAGGTCTAATTTATCCCTGCCTATGTTGTTCTGTGTGTGCAGCCTTAATAAAGACCATTCGGTTTGATGTGTGAATGTTCGGACAAGGTCATAATGAAACAAGAATGTAATGCAAAAAGAATGTCGCTGAGTGATTCATAAAATCCCAACTTCCTACTCTGTTGGGGTGTTCCCCTTGAAGGAGCGCATTCAGCACAGTGCAGCTGCTCACCACAGGCACTCTCTCTCTCACTCTCTCTCTCTCTCTCTCTCTCTCCCACTCTATCACTTTTTTGTCTCCCGCTCTCTCTCTCGCTCTCTCTCTCTCTCTCTCTTTCTGTCTGTGTCTCTTCCTCATCTTTTTTTATTTTGCCATGAAGGACATTTGCTTCACAGACCCAATGTCTTTCCCAACCTAGTGTGTGAGTGGGTCCTCACACATTTCATGACTGACTGACCCACCATTGTAAAACATATTTTGGAAGCTGTATAAATGCATAATAATCATAATAATGTCTACATTTATTTTTGACATGTTTATTCTATTACAGACACCTTAATGCATACTTTTAAATTATATTATATGAGCTAAACATACAAATAAAAAATAAATACAATAAAAACATTTTCCTTAAAGTATAATTTTTTGAAATGTTTCTGTCCCCACTACAACAACAAAATACTTAAATACATGTAACTTTGTCCTTGAAACATTCCTTTGGAGGACTGCTTCTTCTGGGGAAGCGCCAATATGGCTTACCAGTGGCCTCAAAGCCTCTCATTTGCCAATAAATAGCATCAGCAATACAGGGTTTATATATATCATTGGGTGGGTCAGGGTTGCCAGCCGCCCCAAACGTCCAGTTCTTAATTGGCTAGAGGTTAGATTAGACCCCTATTTAAAGACAATACACTTTGAATGACAATGCCCACACAATGGCCTGAACCGTCTGTCCACACATACAGTACATTATGGCCCATACACATAGACACAGAGTAACAGAATCCTCAATCCCAGGGTCTGGAGGTGGTGCAGATTAAAAAGCCTGAATGCCCCATGAGACAGAGGCTCTTCCTTCTGCAGGTGCAGGATGGCGGGAGCCTCATAATGGCTGTTGATTGGCCTTTACGTCCAGGCCATCCTATATGGAGCTAATTAGAAGGACATTACGTTTAGTCCACTGGCCCAGCAGGACACAGGATAATGTACAGAGGCTGGTGGTTTAACCCTGTGCCTCCCTGTTAGAGAGGAGCACAATGGGACAGAGCCCTGTTCCCACCAGGGACCTCCAGCACCGGCAGGGACCTCCAGCTATCCACACTTCTCCCCAGTATAGGGGGTATAGACCCCTGTCTGTTGCAGCCACAGGCCGGGGAGACTTACTTCACAATGGATGAGAGGGACAGTTTCACCATGAATACAATCCTCACTCAGAGTACTGGGAACTGGAAGAGCTGCTTTGTTTCACTTACTGTGCAAAAGTTTTAGAGCAAAACAATTATGAGATTTGGTAAAAAGAAATACAAATTAATAGTATGCTAGCTGCCAGGAAAGGAGAGTTTTTTGGACAATGTGGGAAAACCATCAGTTTGCTGAGAATAGTCTGTTTGAGTGGGAAAAGCTTTCCTTTTGTCTCAGAGGCCATTTGCAAACAGTGGGGCCTGTCTCCTTGAGGGCCTGCCTGCCACATGAAGCATTTATGGAACAATAAATCACAATGCCAGGATTTTCACTTTTCACAGGAGGAGGAGGGGTGGTGGGGTAAGGAGGGAGGGTGGGAGGAAGCGAGGTTGTTTGGTCGGTGGTGGTACCCTCCCCTGGGTTTTGTCCCAAACATGCCCCTTTAAACCCACATCCAAGCTTAGCCAGGTTATGGGAGAACAGAGCGAGACATTCCCGGGAACGCTCTGTTGGGAATAGAAGCTATAGGGATCAGTCTCCCATTCCAATGAAGAGGCCAAGGGAGCGAGAGGAGAGGGCTTGCCAGAACCACATCGCCACATTTTTACTTCATTAGCGTCATGGAAACCACTGCATTCCAGCCTGGCTGTGTCTCTTGTTAGGAAGTGGGGCGAGCGCAAGGGGTGAGGGGGGGATCCATAATAAAAACATTGTTGGATCATTCACCATCGAGATGACACCTCAATACGAAAACATTCAAAGCCCCTCCGACTCTATGGGCAGCTATCTAATGAGTTAGGCATTCAAATAGGCCTTTCTTTCATCAACAGAGGTCATGTCGCTCAAAAGGCCTGAGTGATCCTATGTATGGATCAACCATGCACTAGGCTCCATATAACAGATTCCTCAATATAATGGTGATGCAGCTGAAATAGTAACTTCACATAGACCAGGGACACCCTTGTCTTTTGAAATAATGAAAAATATATACTTTTATATGTTAAAATGTCACACTCTCTTATCCAATGGCATTTGTTTCTGGAAAAAAATATGATGCCTTAATGCTTTCGAAAAAAAAAAATCCATGGCGTGACAGAAGGATATATTTTCAGCAACAAAACCCCCCCTGATTTCTATGATCCTTAGCACGGATGTCATCATGTCATGATCCTCTCTTGTAACATATAACTTTCAATGGCCTCTAATGGTCGGATCCATCTGTTATGACTACATTTTCCTGTGACCCTAGATATGTTCAGTCATGCATTGAAAATCATGGGAGCTATGTATTATTTATGCTTCAAAACATTTGAGAAGACAGAGGGGGCTTAGCGATAAAAAGCAAGTGTGAAATCACTAAACATGTCACAACTGTGTTCAGAAGGGGACCGATTAAACACAAGGAGCTCATAGGCTAACATAGCTTTGGGCTAGCTAACACTGGCTAGGCTAAATATGGTGCTGGGTTGGGCCATGACTAATGTCAATCAGACAACCAACCTCAACGTGTCCCATTGAGTCAACCTACAGCTGGACATTATTGTGACTTCCCCCTCAAATAACCAGCTAGGGCTTTGGTAGGAGGGCTTTGGTAGGAGGGCTTTGGTAGGAGGGCTTTGGTATGAGGGCTTAGGTAGGAGGGTTGTCAAAGAAAGAAGTGCATTCCCGTAATCAGTTATAGTCTACTGGCAGTAGGACTTTAGAGAACTTTAGAGGACTTTAAAGAGGACTGATCAATGCATGAATTATCAGCCTGTCTCCATTTTGCATCCTGCAAGATAGAGTCATCCGTATACTTTCGAGTGATTCTCACAGAAAAAACAACAACATATTTTACACTTACATTATAAAATGTCTGCTAACTTTATATGTTAGACCTACACAGAAGTGTATCTGACCACATTGCCAAAAGCTGCTAAAACTCATTATGATTTAAAAGCCAAGGCTCGCTGTGTAGAACGTTCCACGGCAGTAACTCTGTGAATGGTACTAACAGGCAGGCTCCTCCTAATAAACTAAATAAACTATTGTGTCCAAACTTTAAAGGGCAGAAAATAACAGGCCCACTTAACTTTGAACACATACTGTAAGCTTTTTATAAGGGTCACCCCAGCAGGTGGACCAGTACAGTGGCCAGTGTAGTGTAAGGCAGACCCACCTAGTTTCAATTAGTATTTGTTTCCTTTCAAATACTTTATCTGCACTTAAATGAGCTTTCCTGGTGCAATCAAACCAATGGAATTGTCTCAAAATTGGCTAAATCTGCCCATCTGACACTCCAGGCAGGCTCAATTAAACGCTCAAATGTACCAAACTTGAAATTTTATTTCCAGGCACTAGCATTTTGTCCCTTTCTAAATTGGTTTAGAAATGATTGTTCCGCTCCCTGGCTGAGTATATGGTGTCTCCTATTGCCCTGGAAGAGGTGGTCTTCACTGATATATCCCTTAAACACTACGCTTTGGTCCTATTATTGCTCACACAATCTCTATTTGGTGCAAAATTAAAAAAACTATGCAACTGGGAATCAAATGGCATGAAAAAAATGGTATGAAAAAAAAAATTATGCACTCACTAACTGTAAGTCGCTCTGGATAAGAGCGTCTGCTAAATGACTAAAAATGTAAATGTAAATGCATGCCCATACTCCAATATTTTTACAATAATGCCTTGTGATCTTGGGGGTGGCCTTTTGCATACCCCCAATGGTCCAAATGTGAAATCCGTTACTTGCCGATATCATGGACAGTAATGGTTTGAGAACATTCGAAGACT